TGTGCCTCCTTGCCAGTGTAGCACTGTAACCTGGAATGTAAAAATAAAGATGAATATGCTTCATAAAGGAGTACAAGCACTTGTATGGTCCTATGATCATGACAGAGTACATGTTGACTGTAGCCTTGGTTAACCCTAACCCCCCTTGTTCTCCCCCCTCTGCCAGAACCTAAAGGCGGACCCAGAAGAGCTGTTCACCAAGCTCGAGAAGATCGGGAAAGGCTCCTTCGGGGAGGTCTTCAAAGGCATTGACAATCGGACTCAAAAAGTCGTAGCCATTAAGATAATAGACCTCGAAGAAGCAGAGGATGAGATAGAGGACATCCAACAGGAGATAACTGTCCTGAGCCAGTGCGACAGTCCCTTTGTGACGAAGTACTACGGATCCTATTTGAAGGTGGGTCTCTGGTGTTCCCACCCAACACAGGTGGACCTTCAGTGGGCCTATCTCTCATAATAGATGGGATCATTATGACCTTATGTCATTCGATGGCTGTGGAGAGCCATCCCGAAACATCCATGGGTACCGTGCTGCCTGTTACTCTTGTTCATTGTGGTGTTTGTTGCTCATGACACTGAAGAATGGAGATGTTGTTAAAAGTGAAACTGGCCCTCCTGAATAGAGGCATATTTAATGAACCTTATTTAATGGTTTCAGTTCAGTTAACCACCGTCCTTTTTTAGTTTCTAATTTTGAAGTTCTGGGCTTTTTTTTGTCTCTGTTTGGGCCTCTCGAGCTTCGAGCACATCCTGCGGCCGTCATACACCCTCAGCCATCTGCATCACGTTGGCCGACCCTATGAAGGCCCTCCATATATATTTCTGACACAAAATGTCATTTGATGGAAATCACACCCTTGGAAAGATGAGTTTTACCTTGGGGTTTGTTTTCATCAGAATATCGGAGGTGGGATATGCGGTATTCCCTTCACTACCTGCCTCTTGTCGATTTCCCACTATATCCCCTAAGGTTACGAGTAGAAGCCAGTCTCATCTCAAGGTTTTTGTGCGTTTGTACCAGGTCACACGCTGCATTCTTCACTTGTGGTTGCAGATGTTCTCTGCTCAGTTAGCGTGGTAGCCAGCCAGGAACCGCAACCGAGTCGACAACAGGAACGGGCTCCTCCTTCGCTGATGCGCTCAATGGCTGCCAAGTGTTCGTGTCACGCTTGGGTGGTTTTTGCTGATTTGTGGAAGGCTGACTTTGACCTGGGTTTGATTACTTTTGCAAAAAAATCTATTGGGAAAAACATCGATGTGTAAAGCAGTATGAGAAATGCCCACTACTGAAGAGGCCGGGGAAGGAGCTGCAGTTTGATCTGGCATCTTTGGGACGTTGTGCCGTGGGGAGATAGTACCAGCTGGCAGAATCCTCTGCAAAGACAAGAAGTTTATAGTACAAAGAGCCAGTACTGCTTGATTATGGCAATCATGATCATTTTGGTCAATACCAAAATCATTTTTACTTGGCGTGATTGCACACTGACTTGGGAAATATCGTGCGTTTATTGAACTTATGTTTGTAACACTGAAGATAACTGATAAATTAAAAAGTTGCTGAAAGGGGGTGTGCTGGATTTATAACAAGACAAAACAGGACCATCTGTGCGAAATGAAATGTGGCACAATATTTTGTTTTTGGAACGTTGGAAGCAAATGTTATAGCTGAAATCAAAATTCAGTTAATTGCCCAGCCCTGCAACGAGTTCCGTGTAACTGTTTGTTTAATCACCTGGTGCAGTTTTGTGATTAAACTCGTAGCAGATTTAGACTTCTGGAAAATGGGGATATGTGTAGGCAGAGGATCTGATTCCCAGGAATACCTAGTTTGGTAGCTTGGGAATCTCACAGGATCTGCTGCTGGTGGTTGTTCCATCTACCCCGAAGTGGATCTGCTCTCTCAGCCTTCTTCCTAGCGTTTAGCTCGGGATACTGCAGCCGTGGAGGTAAGAGGAGATGTCTGATTAATAGTTCTGCTGACCTGCCTTCTTTCAGCGGGATGTGGGATTTGGGAGGCCTGTCCCCTGTGCGTGACGCTTGGAGAGCCCTTAGAGAGAGGGTGGAAAGCACAGCGGGTCCTGGTCATCTCTCCGGGGACCGGTCCCGGGCCGTTAATCACGACCCGCCGTCTGTCTCGCATGCTGCTTCGTGGCGCTTGCGCGGCAGATCGATGCAGTACCGTGCCGCCCTGTCCCTGCGCCATTCCGGCAGGTTAGGGTCCACCCCCCCACCCTCCCACCGTTCCCCGGAGATGAGGGATTTGGGGTCTGTAGCATGGAAGAAACAGCAGTGAGCTGGATCTTCACCATCTGCTGATTTCCGCCGTAGTTTGATGATTAAAGCTCAGAACGTACTTTTTTTTTCCCCCCTCTTCACCTATAGAAAAATGTGAGAAACTGAAGTGACCCCCCCACCACCTCCTTTTTTGGTTTATTTTTTAATATATTAATTCCTTGGTTTTTAATATCGCTAGCTGAGTGTCTTTGTCCGGCCCTCAATGGAGTCTCCATCATCAAAAAAATAACCTGAAAGCCTCTTGAAAATTGCTGAATGGTGAGAAGACGCGGCGTGCACCTGCAGGTCACACTTGGCTGTCCGTGCGTCACGCTGCGCCTCACCTTCATGGCCCGTGTCACATGACACGCTGCTTACGGCACCCCCGCCCATGTCAGACATCCTTCCACCCTGTCGCCACATGCATGTCTGTCTGCCTCTTCAGGCGGATGCGTCACTCTGGAATGGAGCATCAGGTGATGTGAATTTCTGGTGGGCTCCCCATCAGCCTCCCATCTCGCCTTTGACGTCTAATTAACGGTGATGGTTTATAGCCAGGCAGCCCGCAGACGGGCCCAGTATGTAACCTCGGTGTTCTGCCCCCTGCCGCCGATTCCTTTGTTCAGCTTAAATTGACTGCAGTGCCCCCTACTGGTCTGATTGTTCACGTCTGGCCACATTGACTGTGCATGCGCGTGAAAGGCCCTCTGCGCTTGGCTGGCTGGCTGGCAGGGCGGGTCTCCCACATCTGCCCCAGGCAGCATCTCCTGACTCATCCTTTGGACCTCAAGCTGTGTGCTGATGTCTGATTGTGCCCCTCCGGCTCCCAGTCTTATGCTGCGTGCAGGCAGATCGCAGAGTTTCAAGTACATCTATAGTCTCAAGCTGAATAATACCCTGCAGCTTTAATTTCCAAACGCCTGTGTGCCCTAATGCCTTGGCAGGTAGTTTGGCAGCCTCAGTGTAATGCCTCCAGGTCTCAGTGTAACAGTGATATTCTGGGCTTAGTCTGTACATCTATTTTTCTTTTTTCTTCCCTCTTTTTTACTGAGCCGATTCCCTCGGCCAGCCGCTCTGTGGGTGTTCCTGTAGTAACACATCGGATGCCGCAGGACGCACTGCTCCGATCGCTCCGGCCCAGCAGGGGGCAGTCACAGAACGGCTTACGGCTGGAGACGGGGATGGGGCAGGTGTGACAGTGCACAGGCAGCGGGGCGCCCAGAGGGCCGTGTCAGGCTCACAGCCATGTCCGTATCTGGGTGCTTGCTACATCTGTTTGATAACAGATTTCCTCCTGTTTTACCGAATGACTCACACAAGGAGTGGGGAGCACTTTTTAAAACATGTACTTTCAGGAGCAAAACTATCTGTCCCCTTTCCTGCGGGACCCCCTGACCTTTCCAGTGCGTATATCCCATTTATAATACTCTAATAATAGTGTAGTACTGAATTTTTGTCTGTGTGTGTCGTACTTGGTACTTAATGAACCATTATTTAATAGTGCATTCAGACTGCCTGTGTTAAACAAACATTAAGGTTGTATTCCTGTGGTGATTTGGTTGGGGGTCGTTCTCCTGCCAGGTAGCGTTCTTGCCATCTTGCTCTGGGGTGGCTCTGTGCCCCCCACCGATCCATGCAGTATTATTGTAATAAAGCCAGGCTTTCCCTGTCGGTGACCCCCCTCCCCCATAGCTGCTGTCAGGAGGGAGGTGAAGGACATTAAGAGCCCCCCAGGAGATGCAGGCGGCATGAAGAGCACTGCCACTGCGGAACTGTGCCGTTCATCCCAGGGCTCTCACTGCATGCTCAGGGCTCCAGGTCACTGGCACATAGGCATGCCCCCCCCCCCGCTTGCGACTTTTACAGACCAGAGGCGGGGGCCAGACTATGACGCTGGACGTGGTGCTTCTGCGTGAGCCGCCAGGCCATACATGACCTTTGAACTCCAGTGCTACCCTCCCGGAGGCGTGCTCAGACCCCCGGGAATGACCCATGCTGACATGCGGTCGCATCTCATTTCCTCACATTGGCTGCCCGCTACTGGGGGTCCTTTGCGACCCCGGTGGGCCCTAACAGCAGGCATGGCCTCAGCATGTGAATGCGTGGAGGAAGCTGAGGATGCCCCCTACAGACCAGGGTTTGAATGCGCAGCCCTCTGCTAACTGCGCCCCGATCGACTGCCCCTCACTTATGAAACGGGTCAGAAAGGTGGTTGTGTGTGCAGTCTGCACTGAAAACATCTGTAGCAAAATAATACACAAAAGAAAAACAAGTGGGGCTAAACTGATTTAGCTATTACTGCAAAATCAATCTTAATTGATTATAAAATCTTTTAAAAATAATCAAAGGCCAACATGTGTGTGCGTGTATGTTTTTTGTCTCCGTGGTTAGCACTGACTTTGAGAGCATAGTCCATGTAACGCTCATGTCACTGTGTTTCAGGGCACAAAGTTGTGGATCATCATGGAGTATCTGGGTGGCGGCTCTGCGCTGGATTTGGTGAGTGTGATGCCAATGCCGTGGCTTTGCTCGCCGCAGAACCGGCGCCGGTTCCCGACAAACTCTCACACCCGGTCCGTCTTTCGCAGCTGGAACCGGGGGCTCTGGACGAGACACAGATCGCCACGATCCTCAGAGAGATCCTGAAAGGGCTTGAGTACCTGCACTCAGAGAAGAAGATACACAGAGACATCAAAGGTACATAATCTGGCCATTTTAGCCCCACAAGCTTGAGTTGCCATACCTGCATTTGGGAGGATTATTTCTTCTTTTGACATCGGGGCAATTTTTCACACCTCTTTCAATCTTTTGAAGTTAGATGATTGTTTAGATAGCATTTTTGAAAATTGCATCTTTTCTGTTCATCTTCAAAGGAAGTTGGCATGATGTTCAGTGAGCTGTTCTTAATAATCACGTTTTCCTCAAGTTTGTCTTCTGTGTTTGTGTTGCGAAACGATGACGGGTCTCGTATTTCCTGTCACGTCCCATCGGTGAGACGCTGACACATGTCGGCGTGCGTCGACGTCTGTCTGTGAGGGATCTCCTAAGCTGCTGTCCACCGCTGATGCTTCTGCAGCTGCCAACGTCTTGCTGTCGGAGCAGGGAGACGTGAAGTTAGCAGATTTCGGCGTGGCGGGACAGCTGACGGACACGCAGATCAAGAGGAACACGTTTGTGGGCACGCCTTTCTGGATGGCGCCTGAGGTCATCAAGCAGTCGGCGTACGACTCCAAAGTAGGTGTTGCCATTTTGGGTCGTGGGAGGGGGGCTCTGTGGGATCATGGGCATCAGGTGGGTGACATCTAAAAAAAATACAGTGAGTGTCCCCCCTGGAACCAGGAATTGGGCCTTCAGGACGTTCTGCATTGAATCTGCGAAAAATCAAGGTCTGCGTTAAACGGTCATGTGTACCTGAGGTCCGAATGTCACATGCCAACAGGGATTTACACATGGGGTTTACACGCTGTGACGTCACTGCCTCCCAGTTGTCATCACGGGGTCACAGCCTCCCAGATACCCCCCCCCCACCCAACGCCGCAGTGTAAATACCATCAGACTAACTTGTGATGGCATGAGTCACACACCCTGGTGCAGCAGAGCGTCCAGCTCACCTGCCCGCAGGCTCCCCCCCTGCGTCGGTTTCCGTTCCAGCTAGGGAGAGCAGTCTGTGTGAGCCCCGCCCTCGTCATTCCGCCTTTATTTATCTCCCCCCATCTGCCATCGGCTGCTGCTCTTCTGAGGGCCGTCCGGCGTCACGCAGGAGTCGACAGTCTGTGTGGTCATTTTCCCTCCCGGGGGTTTCCCCCATTTGTACTTGCTTTGTGATCTTAATAATGACACCATGTCTGCAGTCCTGCTTGCTGAGTGATTCACAGAGTCAGAAGACTGTCTTCTAATGCATCTTCTAGTCTTTGTAGATCTATGTCTGAGCTGAGAATGACAACAGGTATAGAATGTAATGGAACATACAATCCCTGAGCACTGGGGGTCCCGAGAGAGAGATTTTCTTTAGACCACAGGATGGACTCTGTATATATATGCTGTACAGCCAAACGTATGTAGACACAAACTTGTCCAACATCTCTTTCAGAAAACGAGAGTTTAACCAAGGTTAATACAAAGCTGGTCCACCCTTTGTTGCTTGTAACAATGCACCATGTAATAATGCTGCATTGTGTAATAACGCGACAGAATGTAACAAATTGAATAATAATGATGAGATAATAATAATGGTCCACCTTTTTTCGAGTTATTACATAATGCACTGTTATTACAAAATGCGGTGTTACTCGGTATGTAACAATGCATCATGTAATAACATTGCATTATGTGTTAACTCAAATTTAGTTACATTTTGTTAACACATAATGCAATGTTATTACATAAGTGTTGGAACATTTCTGGTGGGGTTTGCTGCCACGGATATTGATGTTGAGTGATCAGGTCCCTTTCTGTGAGCTTTGGTGACTGACTTTGTGAACTTACAGACGTTTTGACCTTCAGTCACTTCACTTTCTGTTGACCAGGACAGCTCTCATAGGAACTGATTGGTTAGATTGATGGCATCCTGTGATGGTTCCAGCTAGGAAGTCATAGCCTCTCCTGTATGTCCGCCCGCTCTGCAGCAAATGTTTGTTGCAGGAGAAAACATAACTGCTTAATTAGTCATTTCCACTAATTAATACGGGTGTCCACATACTTCTGGCCATACGGTGTGCACATGCGTTTTACCCCATTCGTGACTGGGCTGCCCTCCCTTGCACAGTCGAGGTGCGGCTGAGTGAGCGCCATGTTTGGCTCTGGGTGAGTTGAACTCTCTGCACCCGTACTGGCTGTGATGTGAACTCCTGGTCCTCATCGGGATTCCAGAAGTCTCCAAAAACAGGGAGCCCTTCCATTTCCTCCCATAAGATCCAAATAGTACTCTGTCCCCAAAACACAAGCTACTACGTTGAGGTCTTGTATGCTGTGTGAGGTGTTGGGTTTGTCTATCGTTTAATCAGACACCCCGCACCTAACTGCACCATCCCTGTCGCAGGCGGACATCTGGTCGCTGGGCATCACGGCGATAGAGCTGGCGAAGGGAGAGCCCCCACACTCAGACCTGCACCCCATGAAGGTTCTCTTCCTCATCCCAAAGAACAATCCGCCCACGCTGGAGGGGACCTACAGCAAGCCCCTCAAGGAGTTTGTGGAGGCCTGCTTGAACAAGGAGCCCAGCTTCGTGAGTCTGCCGCATGGCCGCTGGCGTTTGTCTGCGTGCCCATCAACCCGGCCTCTGCCTCGGAGGCCTGAAGTGAAGTTGATGGTGCTGTTAAATGAGCCAAATTGTTTAGAATCAGAGGCAGGTAATGTTGGGGTTACTGCCAGCTAGTTAAGAGGTTAATTCCCCGTTTAGGATCAGTAGAGTATATCTACGGATCTAAGTGCTCAGAGGGATCATTTTAGTACTGGGCTCCGTATCCAGCTTTTCGGAGGTGTTTGGCCTTGTTGGCCGTGTTGCACGCGCGCGCTCACGCCAGCCAGATGCTGTGACAGTTTCCCACTGGCGTTTCCTTCCTCAGAGGCCGACGGCCAAAGAGCTTCTGAAGCACAAGCTGATCATGAGGCACGCCAAGAAGACGTCCTACCTGACAGAGCTCATAGACCGCTACAGGCGCTGGAAGGCAGAGAAATCCCGCGAGGAGTCCAGCTCGGACGAGTCCGACTCGTAAGGGAGTCCCAACTCTCTCTCTGCCCCTGTCCTGCATTCACTTCAAGTCACTATAACCCATCTGGGGAATTTTACGCTTCTTAAACAATTATAGGCTGCAATCTCATTTATCCAGAGGTGTTTTAAGGTCACCAACTCGGATAAAGGGTTACAAAGTCGTTTGAAGTTGGAAGGGGTCTTGGGGTTGTGAGGGAACCCAGTAACGAGGCCCGTTGTATCCTGCCCACCAGGGAGCACGACGGCCAGGCAGCAGGAGGCGACGACGGTGGCGGTGATGACTGGATCTTCAGCACCATTCGGGAGAAGGACCCCAAGCGGCTGCAGAACGGGGCTGCGCAACAGGAGGAGCTGGAGAGGAGCGAGGTGGGAGGGCAGGCTCGACGCTTTGCCCACTTTCCGCCTGCCTCGTACCTTCTCCCCCGTGCCGGTGGTGGTGATTCATCCCTCCATGTCCGCTCGTGTTCCCTCCTCGCTGGCAGGTAGCAGACTTACGGAAGAGGCCTCCATCGCAGAGCCTGTCCACCATCATCTCCCCTCTTTTCGCTGAGGTAATGGTTCCCGCACCCGTCATCTCCTGCACGTTTCTCCTGGCCTGTCAGCTTGGAATCATGGGAATTAAAAAATAAATAAATAAATAATAGGTGTCAATGTGTGACGCTGCTGTCCGACATCCTGTCTTCTCTTGTGTGTTTTTATGACCAGTCATGGTTTCTAGCCTGTAGCAGAGCAAATGCATGTTTGATACTCTGCGCTCTTTATCATGCTCTGAAAGGGTTTGGTCTTTGGTAAACCACCCTTGCCTCTTGTACAGTTGGTGCTGTTGTGTTCATCTCGTGTCTGCAGACCTCAGCCACTCAGATTCCCATAATTGCTCTTTACAAAACCAAGCTCACCAGCTCTGCTCTTCAAAAGCTTGCACCGAGTTTGTCTTTGGCCTTGGTTTTTGCCTGCTGGATAACTGTAGGGTATGAGCACGTCGGAACACATTACCGGCAGCCAATTCTAAGCCAGTGATGAAATGGGAGATTTCATTGGTCAATTGGTGTTGTGTCTGTTGACCCATATCAGTCAGCGCCAGAGTTATAATGATTGGTGTGAGTGACACAAATGAGCTGCTTACTTGCAATGAGAAAAGTCCTGAGGCTTAAAGGGGTGGTACTATGCTTGAGTTAGATGGGCCCAAGGATAAACTCTTGGTTGCAGATGCTACCAGATAGACCCTGAGACTTTTTGGGTATTTGAGGGCTGGTTGGTCATTTGATGAAGCTGAATGAGATCCTCTGGTGCAGTAGATGGCCTCCCTCGCTTTTCTCACACCAAGAACCTTCTCAGGGCATTTGGAGACTGTGGGGATGGAACTAGGGCTGGACAATAATTCAATATCAATATATATCGCGATATAATTTTTTTCAATAACGGTGATACGATTTTTAAACACATTTCCGATATTTCGATATAGATATATACTGTATCATATAATATACAGTATATGAATAATCAGCCTGTTTTAGTTTAAATGGAAATATATTATTGTTAATAAGCTGAGTCTGAGAGATTTATTTATTTGATAGTTTATTTCACATTTCTTGTTTGTAAAGGCTAAATACAAATAAAAAGTGAACCTTATTTTTTTTTGTACTGTTTTTATTTTTTAAAAAATTATATAATTTTAATAGGAGGAGCCTGGAGGTATTATAGACTTTGCAAATTCAGTTTGCAGACATCCATTGTGTGTGTCCTCGGCAGTTTTTTCCTGAGGCTTTTTAATATTGTCCATATCGATATCGGAATTATATCGTATCGACCAAAATTAAGAGATATATCGTGATATAAATTTTTGCCATATAGTCCAGTCCTAGATGGAACTGAGCAGAATGTGTGTAGGATCAGTCCCGTAGCAGATGTGCCTGGTGGGTGGAGGTTATCCACCAGGGGCACCAGAGCGGCGACGTTGGCCGGACCGATTGGCATGACCCGTTTGGCATCTGCTGATGGCTGCCTCTGCTCCCCCCTAATCCCCGCGGCAGCTGAAGGAGAAGAACGAGGCATCTGGAGGCAAGCTGGAAGCTCTGGAGGAGCTGAGAGAGGCCATCTTCCTTGCCGAGGAGGCCTGTCCAGGGATCTCAGACTCCATGGTGTCCGAATTGGTGCAGAGACTCCAGAGGTAAGGGCTTGCTAAAACACTTGGGGTGTTCTGTAGCGCCCTCTGCAGGGTGGCAGTGTGTCTGGTGACTGACTGAGCCTGCAGCTGATATAGCCGTTTGCATAAACGTGTACCTTTTAAAGGCCAGTTTATGTATTTAGATTGAATATCTGCATTTTTACCGCAAAGTGTGGGTGATTTGCTGCTTAGCAACCCGTTAGGAGTTGCGGTCTGTTTGTAGAAACGCACATGAAGGCAGTTTATGGTTTTTTAGATGCTGTTTGCGAGTCTGGTTTCTGTGGGGTTTGTGTCTGCTTCTCCTCTCACAAATCCGTATGACCTCACGTTACTCAGGAGCCATATCTAGACAACCTAACAGTTCCTTTCTCGGCCCATCTGTTTTTCCGAACTAGCCTGTCGTAATAGGGCATTCCGCACAACTTGGGTGCGCTGTGGAGCTAGTCATCCACGCCCCCACCCCCCTTTCTGTGTCCCACAGGTTTTCATTGGCTGGGGCGTCGTCCTCCAACCAATAGGAGCTGCCGTCTGCCCCCAGGGAGGGACAGCAGCCCCATCACAGCCATCAGGTCCACCACCTCCAACATTCACAAGCCGAAATGAAGTCTCTGGAGGGCCTTCAGTTTTAAGAGCTTAAAGCGAATTTATTCTACTTTTTTGTCATAGTGCACATATAAATAGCAGGAGCATTAACAGATGGAGGGTCCAGTAACTCTGTCAAGGTGGGTCGTCAGCAGTGTCCTGTCGGACTTGCACGTGTTTGAGGTCCAAATGCTTGTAGGATCTCTAGCTAATGGGGGCTGAATCTCAGTATCTGCTGTGTGAGTGTTTCCATTCCTTTTTAAATAAATAGCTGCCCCCTTTTCTTCCGCCGTTTGCCCGGATAGATTAAAAAAACAAACAAAAAAAACTATACGAAGACTGCATCTGGAACCTCCAATACAGTGTCTGAAGATGAATGTGCATGTGTGTGATACTCACATGATACTCACGCGTGCACATGAAGATCATCCTTAACCTTGCTAAGGAGACGAGCATCTACTGAAACCTCAGGTATTCTGCTTTAAGTGGACACGCCCTCCCAGAGATGGAGGTCAGTGTGTTGGGTGGGTGTACAAAAGTGTGTAAATAGTCATTTTTACCGGCATTTGCGTAAAGAAATCACTGTGTATAAACAGCCAAGTGCTTCTGTAGATAATGTTAGTAGGTAAATATTTAAAGTGAGTGTCTCACAAATGGCCATAACTGAAAATTGCCTTGTCTTCGCTACTCCATGTTCATTTTTGGGCCTTTTGTTTTCCTTTTTGTTTTTTTGTTTTTTTTTTTTTAGAAAAATAAATTCTTCAAAGGTTTTATCATCCGATTTAAATTTGAAGCCCTGTTGTCTTTTTAAATGACTACTGAAGGTAACTCGCTGTGGGGCGGATGGCAGATCCTCGTCCCCGCACCCGGTCGCATTAGACCTGATGAGTGCTCCTGCTGTTCTACTTGATCTTGTCCCAGTGAGCAGAGTATCTTCTTTAGTACAGTGGGAACATTATGACCAAATTGATCTACGCAACTCTGTTTCAGGGCAACCTTGCCCCTGTCTGCTTAAACTTCATTATTCCTTTTGTGTTTTAGTGCATCGTCGCACCCGTTCCCTTCCTCAGCCGCTCCGGTGATTTTTAGACGAGGACCCCGAGCTCCCCCGGTTTCACCTGAACTGCAGCCAGGTTGCGTCGTCATCCGCATGCGTTTTAAAAGTCATGGCAAGCGACTGTCATGGTGAGCTTCTGATGCATAGCCGATGGCTTGTTTTGCATCCTTGCATCTAATTGCCTTTTGCTCTACAAACCCTAGGCAGCCATAAGGAATTAGCATAACTATATATATATATATATATATATATATATATATGTGTGTGTGTGTGTGTATATATAGGGTACAACTCATCTGTGACGAAGGACGTCTGTGAACACACATCATAACTTGGCCGCCACCGGTTTAACCCATGTGTAAATCGGTGACTTTCTGCCAGTAAAAGAGCACATGTGCTTGGCGTGGGAGCGGCGTGAGGCGCGTGGCTGCGGCCCCTGGGGCAGTTTGCTGTGCAGGTTTGAGGGCAACAGGCTCGGTATATGTCACATTCGCTGGGCAGGTTTGAGGGCAACAGGCTCGGTATGTGTCACATTCGCTGTGCAGGTTTGAGGGCAACAGGCTCGGTATGTGTTACATTTGCTGTGCGTGCAGAGACCTGCTTCAAACTCACAGCCGTGTAACTTAACACATTCTGTCTGATTCGCCATCTTTCATTGGTATCAAGTTTCGTTTACAGCAGTAACTTTAATCAACACCCCACACTGGGTAATTTTTATTACACGCTGCGTGATGATTAATTTGCATTTAGGGGAATGTTTCACCTGTTTCAATGTGAGCAAGGTAATCTATCCCAGGAGGACGCTATACTCTGATGCAGAGAGAGATGTGGTTGATTTTGGTTTTCTTTTGGTCATGCAGACAGGTAGGAACACCCCCCCCCCCAGATTCCATTAAAAAGCAGGCTCAGGTCCTCCCATAGGTGTTCTGTGTTTAAGTACCGGATACCAGTCTATCCGATAATTCCTGTCACCCTGTAGTCTCTCAGAAAAAGTGCCATTCCTCTCCATTAGCCCTTTTCGGTAGCTGTAAATGCACCTTGTGAAGACTGTTCAGTTGATTTTTATTCTGTTGCACTTTGAAGCATTTTAGTATTTAAAAACTGGTACTCAAGGCTGCAATGTTATGTCGTTTCATACATGATTGCTACTGTACCTTTGCAAGTATGGCAATAAAATAGGTTGTCAGGATGCATTCAGCACAGGTATATTGTATGGAATCAAAGGATAAATACAATATTTTTATAATTGTAAAAGAAAAACTATTGTAGTTCAGAGTAAATTTTAAATCTGGTCATCTATGATAGGATTACATATTACAGAAGTTGATTTCTTTCTGTAACATTGCCGACAGTTTAGTCACATATACTCCTTGCTCATGTCATTAAAAACACAAAGGTATTTAAATCCTTGTAAGCTTAAGTGACTGAGGAAAAATAAAATTCTAATTTACACAAGCCGCTCTCATTGTCTTCTCTGGACTCTCAAATATTCAAGACAAGTTGTTTAGTGCCCTCTGGTAGTTGGTGTAGCAGATACAGTGGTATAGAATGTGAATCTGCTTTCTTGGCCAATGCTCATTAGACAAGTTTACCAGACATCACATCCTGCCCCTAGTTGGTGAGCAAACCATCCATTTTCTGAAAGTGGGGGGCCAACCCATTGTAGGGCGCACACACACACCAGTCACTCACACATGAATACCTATGGGCAATTTCAATTAACCTCAGCGTGTTTTTGGGCTGTGGGGGGAAAGCCAGCGTTCCCAGAGGGGAAACCCCAAGACAACATGGGGAGAACGTGCAAACTCCACACACACGCACACACACACACACACACAATGCAGGCAGAGACTTGAACCCGCGTCCCAGGGGTATGAGTGCTAACCACTGCACCACCATGCCGTCCCGTGAGCAAACCACTTTAATTGTAAGTGAAGTAGATCTCATAACCTAACATAGTATATACTTTGATATTTACAAGTAGGGTTAGTCAGTCTCCCAAATCAGCTGGGTTCAAGGGCCCAAAAATAAAATGACTCCCCTCCCAGGTGTGAGATTTGAACCAGTAACCTTCTGTAACCCCCCGAGCAACACACTGCTGGTTGGCTGTGTGCAACTGCAACAAGCATAGCTCAGAAGTGTAGTCAACTAACTGCAGAACTGTGCATCACTCTTCAAATGGAATTGAAGATATACTATACCATGTTATTCCCGTTCCTTGCGTGATATTACTACACAGCCTATTGTCTTCATTCACATAAGGAAATGGTAGTGCCGTTTCTAGCTCGCGAAGCTAAATCGTGTCTAAGGCGTTTCTGCAATCACATGCAAGTTCCTTTTTCCAGAAGAATAGGCTCTGCTACCACCTACTGGACAGGCTGCAGTACTGCCAACAAAATAGGATAAAATAGAAAAATCCCAAATTCTTGTAAGTATATCTCTTTTATATGGAAGGGGGGAAAAATAATATAAAATTTAAGTCGAAATTTCGACTTAGTTATCTCGTTATTTCGAGATATTAAGTCGAAATTTCGAGATAGTTATCTCGAAACAAGTTTCTAGCTTTAACAACTTTTCACGGAAGTATGGTGGTGCATTTTTAATGACAGAATCGTGTTGTCCAGTACACAGACAACGATGCACACCGATTATTTTTGCGCTTCAAACCATTTCGTGATTTGTGCAAAGTCGTGTTAATAGCTAATATAATAGGTCCTTTCAGCTGTAATGACATGGTGGTTTAGCATTTTGGGCTCATGGCAACTGATGCACACCCCTTTGTTTCCCAGATAGCTTTACGTACGAATTTTAATTAATATTTGAATGTTCGAATGTATCCGTATAATGTGCAATGGGACAATACATTAATGGATTAATAGCTTTAAAACTAGACACTTCTAGTGAAGTGTGCTTTGATCAGTGGACTACAGGGATCAATACACACCCCTTGGATTTTAATACATTGTATCCATATTACACAGCATGGGGGTAATGCACTAAAGGGTTAATAGCTCTGAAACTAAATGAGACAGCCATGTCCTATGCAGTGTGCATGGATCAGGGGAACCTGGGGGACAATGCACACCCCTTGGATTTTCAAGATAATTAATAGTTGTTAGAGAGAAAGTTAATACATTGTATGCATATTACATGCCATAGGGGCAATGCACTAAAGGGTTAATTGCTCTGAAACAAAATGAGAAAGTCATGTCCTATGAAGTGTGCCTTGATCAGTGGAGTCTGGGGGCAATGCACACCCCTTGGATTTTCAAGATCACTTTCTAACAGTTATTAATTATTACATCGTATCCATATTACATGCCATTTGCTCCATTTCATACATATTGACAGTTAATTGATAACACAAATTAATCCATAAGTAAGTTGTAAAGTGTGATTTAGGCAGTGCACCGTGGGGCAAAGCAAATGTATCACAGCTGAATTGCTTGATTGCGTGTTTCGTAATCGGTGTGCATCGTTGTCTGTGTACTGGACAACACGATTCTGACATTAAAACGCCCCACCTTACTTCCGTGAAAAGTTATTAAAGCTAGAAACTTGTTTCGAGATATTAAGTCGAAATTTCGACTTAAATTATATATTTTTTCCCCCGGTGGCGGAAACGGGCTTCCATACTTTTACGTTCACTCTTCACCTGGCTTTTTCCTGCATTAAACGGGGCTCTACGCTAACTTTTGTTAGAACAGTTGCGCCGCTAAGTTAAAAAATTTAGGAGCACAGACAAGCCAGTGGAATGGAAAGGTTAAGAATAACAGACAAAACTGACTAGATTTTTAATTTTTGTATTTCTTTTGATGTTTTATCATATTCCACATTACAATTCATACTGTAATTCCGAGTGGCTTTGCCATGCTTTATACGTAGCCTATAGTGCATGTAACCGGTTTATCTGTGTTGTGTGAATATTCTATAAAAGAAACTATGATGCCGTGTCGTGATAGCAAATTAACAAATTCAAAATAAACATTTTATGTAATTATACATATTAAACAAAAATAATCCGGCTACATGCATGTATAGTACCAAATTAAAAAGTGAAACATTTTCGCTAAATCAGCATAAATATGCTCTGTCATGAAACCGTACAGCTTAAAAGTTTTCAAACGCAGTATGTATTTTACAAAATGTTGGTTAAGTAGACGTAATGTACTGTTTTTTTTAAGTTTACGTTTTTTAAGAACGGTATAATGTTTTTTTAAATATAAAATCAAATCTCACTCCAGCCAGCTGACCAAACTTAATTGGCACAAGAGTTGCACAAGAACTCGTGGCCATAGGTGGAAATTAGCGGGAGAACATTTCAAACTGGATTTAAGGAAGCACTTCTTTACACAGCGTGTAGTCAGAGTATGGAATAGTCTTCCTGATAACATAGTGCAAGCTGAATCTTTGGGTTCCTTTAAATCAGAGCTAGATAAGATTTTAACAACTCTGAGCTAAGTTCTCCCCAAGCGAGCTCGATGGGCCGAATGGCCTCCTCTCGTTTGTATAGTTCTTATGTTCTTATTGGCAACCCTGCAATTTATTTGAAATGAACTGCAATGCACTGTTTCCGGTTGAAACAGCTTATTATTCTGTTTGCGTTGTTGCTCCGACAATTATAAAATGAATATCAGAAAACATTACATATGACACTTTTTATATCTTTTCGAAATAAGACCGCCTATACCCAACCGTAATAGCGATTACGTGTACTTAATATATTATAATATATACACCGCCCGGCCAAAAAAAAAAAAGTTTCCATTTGAATTTTTCGTTGGGCCGCCTTTAGCTTTGATTATGGCGCACATTTCTCATGGCATTGTCTCCACAAGCTTATGCAACATCTCACCCTTTATTTTCATCCAGATTTGCATTCAATTCTCACTGAGATCCTGTATTGACAAGTGAGTTGAACCACTCCATAAAGGCTCCTTCAGCACATCCCAAAGACCTTCAATGAGGTTAAGGTCACAACTCTGTGGTGACCAAGTCATGCGTGAAAATGATTCCCCATGCTCTCTGAACCACTCTTTGACAATTTGAACCCAATAAATCTTGGCATTCTTGTCAGGGAAGAAAAAATCCATTGATGATGGATGGAGGTGTAACCTGGCCATTCAGTAGATTCAGGTACTCAGCTGACTACTTTATTGCTGCTTGACGTTGCTGGGCTGTAATAATGATCCAGTCATTGGCTCTTAAGTATTCGCTGATATAAATTTAAATGGCTACCTTTTTTGGCCGAGCAGTGTATATCCTTAAAATTTAGGACATGCCGCTCCACTCAAAACTTGAAAAAAGTAATATATAATATATCCAGTCAGTGTGACGTGTGACTCAATCACTCACTCAGAGATTGCATTTTGATGATTCAGTTTATCTTAGGCAATGTTACAAGTAACTCACACCAGTGCGCCTAAATCTTTTTTCACGTTTGCACACCGTCCGCATATGCGGGTAACATAGGTAATGCAGCCTTGTTAAGGCTACGACTGATTATCCCTGAAATACAAATATAGTCAAATCAGCACTGGCCAGTCAGCAAATACCTCACAGCAAGTTTTTATTCATACATCCAAAAACAAAGATCGATTCGCCACGTTATATACAGATGTTACATACAGTGTTTTTACACATAATTACATCATTTGTACACAAGAAAAATATACATAAAAATGTAAACCTTTGTATACAAAAAATACCTTAACTTAAACAAGGACAAATAACAAAAGGTGACTAGATTATTAGCTCGTCCTATTATCTTTAAAAACAGTAATACAGTACATTCAATGTATAGGAATTTGTCTGCCGCTCTGGATCTCGGCTGGTAACCAGAACCTTTAGAGCTGTAGAATAATTTTCTCCTTTTGATATTGGGGGGGGGGGGGGGTCTCCTCCCTACTTGAGCAAAAACACAAGCTATAAATCCCAGCTGGCATAACTCTGTACTGCTACGAAAGAACACCAGTCGAAAATGGGACTCAGCACATTAAAATCCATCCATACTTTGGGCTTCATGATCCCTAAGACTTGGGGAGGCCCTTCCCCACAGCTGGGTCTGTGTCCTGACAAGGTCAAAGAGAGGGGGCATGTCCTAACAAAGGTCAAAGGTCAGAGCTGGGGAGGGGATTAATGATCCTGAGAGCCAATCGTGGCTGACCACAGCCAAGAGGATGTAGTTTTGCTGCTCCTGTACTAATTCTACAAGGCTGCAGGTACAGTGCCTTCTATCGCAAAAGCCAAGAGTCTGAGTTAGCATTAGCCAAGGCTAAGAGTATAAGTTAGCATTAGCCAAGGCTAAGAGTCTGAGTTTGCATTAGTCTCAGGTTTGCAAATTTCACATCAGTGCTTAAGGACATCCTCAAGTAAGAGTCTGGAAAAGCGACCCAAAAAGTTAAGGACGTTTGGTTTATGGGCGACAGCTTCTATCCACCCCCCCCCATACTCGGTCCAGCTGTTTGGCGGCAACTGCTGTGTGGACTTTAATAGCTATCAAAAAGTGCACCAAGCCATCATAGATACTCACAGCTACTTAATTAAAGTTGCTCAATAGAAAGGGACACAAATTCCACAACACACAGCCTACTGCATCCATTCAGCCTGTGAAGAGAACAAACCATCACGAGATGATTCTGATAGCTATTAAAAAGCTCACAGATACTCCACAAAACACTGGCTCCATCAGTTATAATTCGCAAATAAGTTTTCAATTTTCATTCCATATCACTCATTTTGACTCACCAATAAAACCCAATGTTGAGACCGCTACTCTATAAATATATTAAATACTTATAACAATAGTTATAATATTCCAGTTCCTAAAAAAACGCTACCAAAACCCATGTTTAGTGCTGTAATAAAACCATCGGTAAAGCAGTTGGAGCAGTTACACCAGGTAATTTCTTTTTGACTTCCCACCTGTTTTAACATCCGGACGCTTAAAGGGACGGAAGCCTCCAGTCAGACAGCAGTATGACACGGGTCACCTCGTCCCCCCGGCCAATGAGAGCTGGGCCCTCCCCTGTCCCCCTGAGCCCCCCGGACACGATTCCGCTCCCACTACACGGACGCCTGTGATGCTCCCAGAATTACAGTCTCTAAGAAGGACCCCTCTGGCTCCCAAGCCGCTTAACCGGGCATCTCAGACACAATGGCGCACGACACTGTTGGAGTTTCTGAAGCATAGACACCATACCCCACCCCCCACTCGCTGGGACGCAGGTAGTCACGATCCAGGGCGTCCTGTGAAAGGCCGCTTTTGCACTGAGACTGAAAGAGCACCACTGAAAAGATTTGGGACACTTTGAACCAATGGATGTTTTGTTGTCTTCACTGACAGGATAGAACTTTTTGCATTTTTTCCAGGTGTTACATACTTCTCCTTCCCAACCAAGGATAAGCTCCCTGACCCGAGTGACCATCTGCTCTTTGCCAGACATTCAGTTTTCGTGATATTCCACAAATTTCTCTTTAGGGTTTTATGAGGATAAACAGGCCCAGCACTCTAAGTCTGCTATGAATGGTTAATTGGTGAAGGTATGAATACAGAGGCGGTGCCAATACTATGTGCTGAAATACTCTGATAAAAAAATAATAATGACAGGTTATTGCTTGAAACTCTGGCATCCAACCAAGAGCCCAGAAGGGATCCACAGTCAGAGTGCGGCCTGCTCAGACCTCGGAGCTTGAGTTTCTGAGTCTGATAGAAACGGCGTGACCTCGAGAGCAGCCCCCCAGCCCTCGGGCACAATCATCAGGCTCGTTAATCCTTAACAGCGTAGCAGGCGAGGGAGGGGCGGGTGCTGTGGGAGCCCCCCAGGGGGTGACACAGCCCCCGTCACGCTGGCGACTACGCTGTGCTAGCAAGGCGGGTCGCAGACTTGGGTGGGGCAGGCCGAGAGGGCTGTGATCCGAAGACCTGAAGAACGGATCAGCAGCTCACCAAACCAGGCAGGGCAGCTCCAGCCAGCAGGGCGGGGATTCTCTCTCTCGGACGACGTCCCTCTCTGTCCTCCCTGTGGCCAATGGCGCCCCGGAGCTGCGGACACACAAAAAGGGGAAATATCACATGACCAACAAGACAGACACACTGAAGCATTTTACACTGAAGCTCTTCTGGAGGGAAGCTGAAGCATTTACACTGAAGCCCCTCTGAAGGGGAGGGCGAAAGCATTGAAACTGCAGCTCCCCTGCTCTCACCTGGTCCTCTGCGTCCTGCACTGCGCACACTCCCAGGTCACTGCTTGCTGAAGGGGGGCGCCGTGTTGTTGGCACTGGCCGCGGTGGCGCTGGCGATGGAAAAACCTGTAGGGGGAGCCGTAGAGCTGTGGCTGGGCTGAACGTCCTTGGGAATGCCGCTGTGTGACACCAGCTGATGACCGAAGACGGCGCTGAACTGGGGGAGCTGCTGCTTGGGCTGACCGGAGGTCATGAGGTCATGAAAAGAGGTGGAGGACGAGGAAGCGGCAGACGAGGAGGGGGCGGGAACGGTCAGGCCCGTCAGGCCGCTTGGGGGGAGAGCCGAGAGGGCAGCCGTGGGCTGGATGGTAGCCGAATGTGTGCTGGAGGGGGGGGTGGACAGGGACGTGGACATCAGGTGGCCCTCGGGGCCAACCAGACTGCCAAAGTGCGTGGGGTCAGTGAGGGAGAGAGGCAGGCTGCTCCAGGGCGAGCGGGTGGGACACGGCACGCCGCTGAGGGGGACCTCCAACAGCAGGGGTGGCTCCGTCTGGAAGGGCCCGGGCCGGGGGGACGACATGTGGTCGCTGTAGGGTGAGGGCACATGCTCGCTGCCATAGTGCGGGGGGGCGGCCAGCGGGGCCTCAGCCTCAGCCTTGGCCAGGAGGTGGGAGGGGTGAGCCGGAAACGTCCGGTCCGTCAGGAGCCCAGCAGGGGAGGGGGCGGCGCCCCTGATGGCGGCGGTCAGGGTCGGGGCAGGCGGGATGGGCGGGGCCTGGGGCGACGGCGCCGGCGGGAACGGGCCCCCGGCCGAGTGCAGGAGGTTGTCATCCAGCTCCAGGCTGGTGAAATTCTCGGCGGGGAGGCGTCCGTTCAGAAGGTCGCCCATGCCCCCACCCGGCGTCCCCGGCCCGGTGAACGTGGCCATGGAGCGCTGGTCCGGTCCGTCCGGCTGGGACAGCTCCCCCATGGAGCTCAGGCACACCAGCGAGTCCGGGTAGGAGCCCATGGCCTGGAGGGCCCGGACGAGCTCCTCCGCCTCCTCCGTGGTGGGGAGCAGCTCGCCGTTCTTGCCTGACAGACACACACGTTAGGAGTCAGGGAGGTCACTGCAATTTACAGGCGCTGCGGCTGCAGCTGATTACCTTCCTAACAAGGAAGCATCAGGAAGTAACCGATTAATCCAAGCTACCGAATAACCCAGTAACATAAGCAAGAATCATTAGCAATGGTAACCAACCAGCAAAATGGGAGAGATAACTGATGGACAGACTATTAGAATCAATATGTGATTAAGAGAGACGATGATACCTTCGAACAGATCGAAGTCCTGCAGGTCATCCGGAAGCCTGGGCAGCACGTCCGAGAAGTCCTCCTGGTTCAGCTCGAGGTCATTTGGAATGTCTGTGATGTCATTGGTGATGTCATCTGGAAGCTCATCTGCACTCAGGTCCGGAGTCGATGGACTCCTACCGCAAAAAGGAAACATATACATTGCATTTTATATAGATATATACACAAACACACACACATACATTTATATAGAAAAAACTGGAACTAGAAGCCTAATACTAAAGGAGGAGACAAAACTCTGCACAAGGACCTTGATGTTCTACCCTCGAGATACTAAATCTGTTTGTACAGAAACAGGAAAATTATTAGATCCCATCAATAAAAGCTTTAAATACACATCAAACCGATAAATACATTGATTGTGATACTAAAAATAGCTGAAGTCTAAGGAGAGGCACCAGAGGGCGCTGGATGTGTACCTGATACTGGCAGCTTGTGAGGGCAATGAGAGGCTGGAGGGCATTCCCAGGTTGCCCTGGGGCACGGCGGGGGGGATGGGCTTCTGCGGCCGCCGGGGCCCTCTCCGCCTCTTCTTCTTGTGTTTCTTGGTGAGCGCAGGGGGCTTGCTCTTCTTGCGCGGTTTCCGCTGCTGTTGGTGCTGGATGCGCCGGTTACTGTCGCCCCGCAGAAAGTTATCCTGGAAGGGGCCGGGCGAGAGGCAGGGCGCTTAATGACACGTGAAGCAGCAGCATTATCCTGCGCGCGCGGCCGAGCGGCCGGGGCGGGCGGGAGGCTCACCATCTTCTTGGCGTGCTCCTCGCAGAGCGGCGTCTGGTGCGTGATGTCGAACACGGGCACGGGACACTGCTGGCCGTCGGCGAACTTGGCGGTGCAACTGCAGAACAGCTGCTGCGAGCGGTTCAACAGGATGTCTGTAGGGGGCAATCAAGGGCACAGAACTTCCCGGAAAGAAGGCCACACACTTGAACCTGGGTGCAGGAGGGCATCTCAGACTTTCGAACCTCTCCTACTATCGACCCACCATTGGTAGTTACTCGTAAACACCCAGGCTGAGAGGTGTGCCACTTGCCCTGTCAGGTTTTCCCAGAATGCCATGGGTAACTAAAAAGGATACGCTGGAAACAGTGCCGGGTGAAGGGCAGCGCCCTGCCGCGGCAGGCCTGGCCCCCAGTGCTGCCCGTGCAGCATCCAGACTCTGGACTGGGCGGCGCAGATGACATCCTGGTGCTGTGGGGAGACAGAGCCACTCCTCAGAGTGTTGTCCCTCCAACAACTGCAGTTTTATATCACACCACTAGGGGAGCTCAAATGCCACAGGGTAAACTGGTATCTGCTTCAATAACGGCTTTATCCCAATTAGTTAACGGGAAATGGGTTGAAGCCTCATTTCTCCAAAACCTGAGCCATTAAGCACTCTGGGTAGAACATACCTGGTTGGTGCCCGGGGGGCACTGCGCAGTTCCTGGATGAGGCGGCCAGTACAGTCCGGGTCCTTGCTGGCTGCCTGCAGTAGGGCTTTGCGGAAGGCATAACGGTATCTCTTCTGACGCATGGCTGCTCTCTCCTGTCGGCAGAGGAGCTTGTATTTCTGCTGCAGGAAGCTACACAGTCGGACCAGCCTGGTGGTGCGGGGGCTGTCGGCATCTTCGTCTGAGCTGCGGGGGGGGGCAGGAGGGTTCACGACAAGAGATCGGGGTTAAAGAGGAGACGGAGGAGAGCGGTGCAGCGGCCCTCAGCGTGTTCTGGTCACTTGCAGGTCACATACTCGTCCTGCAGGTGTCGCTCCTGCGCCCTCCGGGAGCACTCGTACGACAGAATTCTCTCCATCTCCTCCTCCTCGTCATCCGTGCTGTCCTCGGACCAGTCTAATCCTGCGCACAAAAGAACGGACACTGCACACTCAGCATTAGCCTGACCGTCGCTAACTCCTGTGGGATGCCCAAAACCATACTTACATCAATTAGGCTGATTCAGGCTACATCAGGTAGATTCAGGCCTGAGCCAAACTTTATGGGACAGACTGTTCTTTCATTTCCCTTATTTGGTTTCTTTTACAAAGGAGTAACAATCTCCTAAAATGTCCCGCAAGAAGGTTTCAGCTGACCGCCTTATGAAATGAGGGTCACAGAGCAAAAGAAGGGAACAGAATAGAACGAATAAAAATAATCCCTGAATTAGTACACCCTGCTGAGCATGCTGAAGCCTTAGGAGGACAACAGGAAGACGGAGTGGGTTCTGTACCTAGGTGAGGGAAGAGGTCGCCATGCTGCCGGTGTCTCTTGGAGCAGAGCTGCACAAGGCGCCGAATTCGCGCCAGGCAGGCGGGCGGAGGGGAGAACTCCACAGGGTGCATCACCACCACACGCCTCTGTGGACTGCCCTGGCTGCCAGGCGGCAGGGGCGTGGCAGTGGGTGTGGTAGTGGGTGTGGTCTTCCTGCTGGGGATGGGGCCCGTGGGCTGTGTGGGGGCGTTGCCACTGGCTGGAGAGGGGCCAACCTGTGGAGGCGGGGCCGCCTTGCATAACAAACCCTGTGGGGGCGTGGGGCAGCTGGGGGCAGTCAGGTATGAGCGCTCAGGTTGCTGAGACGGGAGGGCGGGAAGAAGGGGAGAGGACGAGCAGGGTGGCGTCTGGCACGGTCGAGGGGAGGGGCTAAAGCGCTCTGGTGGGGGCAAAAGGGTGTTTGAGTTACACAACCGTAGCGCTGGGTCAAGCGCTAGCCTGCTCTGCAGCCTCTTCCTGACCGCGGAGCCCTTGCGCGCGGCAGCTCCCTCCTCCCCGTCCGTCTCGTCTTCGTGGAAGGCGAATGGGTCCAGGAGCTCCAGCTCGGAAGGGGCCAAGAAGCGGCCGCGGGTTGGGGAGGGCGGCGGCTCATCCAGACCGTTGGGCGTCCTCAGAGCCAGCGGTGGCACCGTGATGTTGAGGGCCACGGCCTCCAGGTGGGGGCGCCCGTGCATCTCGTCCAACACGTCCTGCTTCTTCTTCCTCTCCTTCTTGGGGATGAAGCCCAGGACCTGCAGGTGGCTGTTGCAGTATCTGACAGGACAAAACACATGGAGCCGATCAAGATACGGGTCGCAGGAAAGACACGACTGCTGAATGAGGAACTGCAGGGCACAGGAAAGACACAGAGAGGAAGACGACAGCTGTGGATGGAGCGCTCACCTGCGGTCCTCGGATTTGGGGATGGGGTTGGTGCACCTCTGGCTGTTGTACTTGGCCACATACTCGCACTGCTTGAACGGGGCGGTCTTGTCCTCCAGGACATGGCGGATACAGAAGGCGTAGCCGTTGAGCCTGCGCTGCTTGCACAGCTTCGGGCTGTACGAGCACAGTGGCTTATTGTCCACCTCCGAGAAGTGTATGTGTTTGCCTTCAAACATCACGTGACTCTGGTCCTTGAGAACATCAGCTGATGGGAGAAGCGGGAAAGGTCAACCTCTCGCTGGATGCAGTGGGGCCACCGAGTGGCGCTGCGAGCAGCCGGACATGGCAGGAAACTCGGCTATGCCCAACTCTCTGGGATAATCAATGTTTCACAGTCTGCGTGAATATTGATAATATTTTTAGAAGTCGTCCAAACAACCGCTCCTGCCTTGCTGAGCCTGAGACTATTTTCCGTAATTAGACAATATTTGTACTGAACCATCATTTTGTGCATTATCATGTTAAATGCGTTCCTTTCCAAAAGTCATTATCTGCAACTATATGTCCTAAAATAATGGCCATTTGATAGGGGTGCAAAAAGGGAAAAAATTAAAGCCTGTCTAAGTCTGATGCTGTCACAAGGCACAGTAAATATTTAGCTACATGCTCAGCCACACTGACAATTTACATGCTGCGTTTGCCAAGTCACACATAAGCCAGACTTAAGGGAGATTAAGCCTTGATTCAAAGCAGCCAATACAGTTATATTTGTGTTAGACAATACCTTTGTTTTATTTGTATCTTTAACACACAACTCAAGAAAACAAAAAAAAATCTTCCACAGTATGGAAAAATCTATAAACCAGAAAACCTGTCTCCACTGAGCCACGAATCTCTAAATCCCTCACACTCACCGGTACCACTGCTACTGTTATTTTTGCCAGAATACACTAACTGTATGAAATATCCCTACGATTTCCATTAAACAAACAATTTATTAAACTTGTCCATGATATTAAAAGCAACATGATACCGTGTAACGTCTATATGCGGAAATGGAGAGCTTGATTTGCTCCTTGACTTATTGGAAGTTTTGATGGCCCGCAGTGGAATATGCAGCATTCACACTGTCAATAAATATATTGTAAATTAGAGAAGTAAATAATCCAGCATCCGGCCTGATCGCTGGCACTGCATGCTCAGACACTCAAGGCATCAAAACACAGTAACACGTGGATAAAACGGAGAACTGTGATCCCACCGAGTGTCAAACCGAGTAAGGAGTACTGACCTAAACCGGGGGGCGGCAATCGGCAGCATTATTCACACTATACTAATACTTACAGGCGATTTACTATCAATTTCTGATTGTTAAAATACGCGACTAAAAGGCACACCGATCGTCAGCGTGAATTTCAATCATTAATACCACTGGTGATAACAGCTTCCAGTATAAAATGTCAATAACGCCCTAAACGGTCTAATCGTTACCAGCTAAACTTGACCATCAGCAAACTTAGAAACAGCCAGAGGGGTAGTTGGTTGGTTGGTTATGTCCTGTAAATGTATCTGGATTGATGCAGTTACCACCTGTTACATGAATCTCGTCTGATGTTAACTGAATGACAGTGTACATCACCAACCCATTACCAATAATGCAATATTGATCTTAAATAATAAGGCGATCAAGAAGGTCCCGGTTGAAATGCTAAGCGTTCGGCTACATTGGAGAAAATACTCTCTTCTATTTTAAACGATGTCACGTTCACTACTTTAAAATAAGGCACAGTGCTACCAGTAATGAATATAACGATTTGACGGTGTCGGTGTGGAAACGCAAGCGCTGGTGCGCCGGACAAAGTGTCGATCTGGCTGCACGGGCAACTTTCAAAACGGCGACAAAAACTGAGAAACCCGGGCGACTCGCAAATTTCATTAAAATATACGAATAACTACAAACTGGACGCAACTTGCTGAAGTTGTAATATTAAGGAAATAGCCAAAAAAACGTTGCGCACTGGCAAGGGTTTAAGGCGAGCAACAAGGAAGCACAGCTATTAAAAAGTACACAAAGCACTTAGCCCCAGAAACCGAATATAAAAAGCCATATAAATTACTTACTAAGTCCATCTTAGCGCAACTCGAATAGCCGAATGCGAAAATACTCCACTAATGACTTAAAAAACAAGTTCGTGTGGCGGCTGGATAAACATATTTTTAAAATATAGCATCAAACAAAGGGAACGTCGATAAGGCCCTCCAAACGGGCCTTTAAAACAACAAAAAGCAATATTATTCGTTGCCGAAGTACTATAATCGCGTAAAAATATTTTTAAATTGCATTTTAATATTTACGGAAAGCACGTTACACGAAAATATGAAAGTGAAAGTAAAATAAACCTGCAAGATTAAACGTTAACGGCGGCCTGCGGGACCTTGGCATCCCACGGCCTCGCGTAGCCCCGTCAGCGGCCTTGACTGGCAAGGCTCCCCGCTTCCTCTTCCACTCGAGCCCCAGGCTTCGCGGCAAGTCGGCTTACCTTCAATTGGTATGTGCAGTATGTAATATCCACTCCGGACGGAGTCTGGAAATGCTAATTATAAATAACCGGGCTATATATGCACTGATTTTCGGTATTTTTAATTTAAACGAGCCTTTTTCTATCCGTGAATGTTTTTGCTGGGATCCATGATTCAAATAAATGTAGTTTATCTGCAACAAAAAATAGCAGTATAGAGCTTGTTGGGGTTTTAGTTCGGTCATCAGCAGACTCTCCTTACAGCACCACTACCGGCACTGCGGGGACATGACAACAGCCGACTGTACAACAACAACCTCTCCTACCATATTGGAAATTTAACTTTACACTAAACCGGAGAGAATGCATTGCATTTGTGAAACTGGCAACTTTCGGGACTTTGTCCTCCTTCATGCATTTGTTAAACAGTATTTGAAAAGGTAACCTGTTTGGGGCGCAAGCACGTTTAACTTGTTTAGACAAAATGATGAGAGGACGCGGGGCTCCCGTCCCTTCTCTGTCCGCTTGCATGTTTTCAGTGTAATTGTCAGTGGGGATTCTCAGTCCTCTGCGTACAGTCTCTCACTTGGGCCGATCACGTATACTTTTCAGTATTACTCGTGGCATGGCATCGTCAGTAAACCGTAACTGATTTTAAGTTACCATTTTAATTCTCTCCAAAGAACCATACCAAAAGTGCAAAGAAAAATTCAAAACATTTTTTTACAAATATCCCCGTAGCCCCTTAGTGTTCGTCTTAACACAATAACTTTTCAACATTTGCTGCGCCTTTTCACCACAATAATCTTACATCTCCACTATGTTTTTCTTTGCATGTTGTTTGATTAGCGCCTTACGTTCACTCTCATTCCTTCGATTATTTGCTTTACAATTATTACCAATGACATTTACCAAAAGCAGAGTATTAAATGGTTACTCTAAGGTTATAATAATGCTTTGGACATTAATAATCATTAACTGATCATTTTCACAGAATATTAACTTAGTTACCCAAGGATATTTTGAAAATCTTATTACTTCATTAATGTGTAAATAATGCCAAGAATCCTTGATCGCTCTACCAAATAACTATAAATTTATATACAGCTGAAACATAAAAATATGCATGTTTTGAAGAAAACAAAATAGCTTGCATTGTACATTTTTATTCACACCATTTAATCTTTGTTACAAATACGCATCTCATATCTTCAATGCAGTAGTGCACTACACTCATGAAGATAATGTCACTCAATGTAGATCTGCACCACAAATCAGGTTTAACTTAAGGGTAAATGTCATGAACTGTGCTAAGCTTGTGCACAGCTCGAAAGGGGAGTGGGGTAACCGGTGAGGGACCCCCACAGGTTTCTGTTGGACCACAGGACTTCGCTTCAGCAGATGGATGGCTCCTCCACGGCCTGTGCGCCCTCGGTTGCAGCCTTCACGCATTTGGCCATGGTTTGGGAGGCTCTGCTGATGGGGTCTGAGGACAAGGGTCACAGTGCGTCAGCAATACAAGCCACATTCTCAAAATCAGGGGCTGGTGTTCACAGAAGGTCTGTGCCTACCTGTCATGTAGAAGTCCTTCACTGTGAGCTGAGGGGGCACCAGGGGCTCAGACAAGAGTGTCTGGTTGACAGCCTAAAAAGAAAAGTAAAGGGACGTGTAAAGGTGCACAAGCAAAAGCGTCTCACCAAATAAGCAGTTCTCGATAACGTAAAGCAGAAGATTCGAAGCAGCTGCAAGGGCAGCCTTCATACATCCATCAAGAATCGGAGCAAAATCATCGTATAAACAAACAAGCGGGCGACCTTCAGACTGGAACTCAATGTTCTTCTTGCGCAATGAAATACTGGACTGGCTGACTCATAAATTTGGCGACTAAATTAATATTTGGCATGTATAAATGACAAGTTTTAATAAAGATAGCACATCTGTAGCCTCTCCATCCAAGGCTCTCTTAAAAGCCTCTTTTAAAGGGAGCCAAGGGTGTGGCAGGAAGAGCATTCAAAATAGAACACGATTAATAACAAAAGTCCTCTAAGAGGTCTCTAATCAAACCTATTGCAGCTCATGGGCACCAAACTGACCTTTGACAGCTCGTTTGCCTGCTTGAAATAGTTGGCTTCCTCCACGTCGTCGTAGCGCACCAGGTTGGGTGACACCTCAGCTAGCCTGTCACGCACCCCGTCCAGAGTGTCATAGGGGAGCGTTACACCAACCAGCTGCAAACAAAGTCACGTCACTGGGAGCTGACTGGACACACCCACACCAGCAGTGCATCCAAACAAACCATCTTTGGGAATGTTCGTAGTTTGAGCACCAAGCAAAGGATGGCGGCATACTTCTGAAATGGCCCTGATGATTTTCCAGTCCTCCCTGGCCATGCCCGGTGGGGTCACTGCCACCCTGGTCTGCTGGGCCCGCCCCTCAGTGTTCACATACGTGGCACATTTCTCCGTGTATGCCGCTCCAGGCAGGATGATGTCAGCCATGGGCGCCCCCATGTCTCCGTGATGGCCTAGACCCAGGAACACGCATAGTTAGCTAGGTAAACTCTGGAGTCTAGCTTCCCCTAAATAAAAGATCTGGCTGATGATCGATGAACACTGAAAACATAGCCCCATTTATTCAGCTGCATTTAGTTGTATCCATGAATTAAAAGACGTTCTTTAAATTCTGTTTATTTTTAGATAACCCTTCCCAACATAGGTACTCTTAATATATGATCTAGACCAGGGGTCTCCAACTACCGTCCAGTAGGTTTTCTATCATACCCAGCTTCTGATGAGCCACACCTGAGGACAAGGGTCACAGTGCGTCAGCAATACAAGCCACATTCTCAAAATCAGGGGCTGGTGTTCACAGAAGGTCTGTGCCTACCTGTCATGTAGAAGTCCTCACACCGGGGAAGATGGTGGTGCAGGAGGTAGTGCTATCGTTCGGCAACCTGAGGGTTGCAGGTTCGAGTCCTGACCCCATCGAAGTGTCCTTGAGCAAGACACTGAACCCCAAATTGCTCCCGGTGTGCAGGTTGGTGCCTTGCATGGCAGCCTTTGCCACTGGTGTGTGAATGTGAGTGTGGATGGGTGAATGTGAGGCATGTATTGTAAAGCGCTTTGAGTACTCGTAGGAGTAGAAAAGCGCTATATAAATGCAGTCCATTTACCATTTACCATTTACCTGTTCTCAGGTAAATACCAGGAGCAGGTGTGGCTCATCAGAAGCCAAGTGGGACAGAAAACCTACTGGACAGTAGCTCTCCAGGACCAGAGTTGGAGACCCCTGATCTAGACAGACTAGAAGACTTCAGAGTCAACAACAAAGGAGCAAGAAGAATGCAGACCCTGGTAGATGATGAAGCTGTTTTTTGGCAGATCCTGTCGAGTGATACAGCCGGCTTCTGCTCCAAGCAAAAACAGCACCTTGGGCGGATTTTTCCTGATGGCTTCCACACCAGGCTTGTAGCCCAGGTCCAGTGCAGCAACCTGACTGGCCACCCTGTCAATCACGCAGGAGGTGGATCATTGACTGGATTATCCCAGCTCTCATTGGTTACTTGTCTCAATGCCTCACTTGTCCCATCACTGGTGTGACCAAATGAAGTCTCATAAACTATTTTCTGTATTTTTTGACCCCACTAGATGATACACTTGGTTTGCTTTGCGGCACGCAGAGCCCTTTTTTTGAATAGGCAGCACCATCTAGTGGTGTCAGAAATTATAGCAAATGGTTCATGAAGCTTAAATTGGCCATTACCAAGTCCTGCTAAGAAGTTACCTGTGAAGGACATTGAGAACCTTCCAGCTGTCCTGCACACCGCTGCTGGCACGGGCATTCTGGGCAATGGTGGACACCAAAGCATGGAGCGCAGTGCCATCACCTCTTTGTAGGCACGCGCTGCCTACTACCACTACGGGGTGCTTTGCCTTTGCCAGGATCTGGGGCAAGAGAAGATGAGGTCAGGAAGGGAACTGAGACTGTCAGGGATCAGCAGTAAGCATGGTAAATCGCTCATGGATGACCCATTATTCCATGAGCAGTGAAGGGGATTTTGAAAATAATAATTTGCCAACTACCTGGCAGAAGGGGTGTGTCCCAGCAGCAATCTCCTGCAACACCTGAGCAGAATCCCCAAGGTGTTCATAGGTGTAGCTGAGATCCACTTGATGTCCCACCAGGGCCACCTGCAGATCATTATGAAGCCAGCTGCAACGGGGGGGGACCAGAAAATAAGTCACATAATGTGCAAAATTAGTCTTACTTTTTTTTTTTTTTTGGTCAGACGGACCCACCTCTTTCTAACACGAGCATTGAACAGAGGAGCCTCATAACGAGGGTTGGTGCCAACCAAAAGCAGCAGGTCCGCCTCTTCCATGCCGCCGATGCCAGTGTTCAGCAAGTAGTTTGATCGCAGGTCAGACCTGCCAACAGAACCGGCATCTACGTTAATGGCAACCTAACCTGAAACCACGCCCCATATCATGTTGCCTTGATCCCTCCTGCGTACCCAGCCCCAGCCATAGGGAAAAGCTCCTCAGTACACAGGCTGTCACTATTCAGCCGGTTCAGCAGGTCCTTCAAGGCAACCAGCGCCTCCGCATCAACCAGGCCGCCAGCAATGGCTGCCACGTCCTTCCCCTGCACCCCCTGGAGCTGCAGTTCAAAGAAGGAAAAGATAGATTATGGGACTGCAGTCACCCCAAAGCACCCAAGAATCACAACATTAATGTAGGCAACACAGAATAAAAAAATCATAACATCTGCCAACAGAAGACTGGGGTGCACTTCGAGGTAAGTTTGACATACCCAGAGTAGAATGTTAAACAGTACTGGTTATCAACTCAGTAACTGACTTGGGATTTGTCTGCGCATGTTCGCATAAAAGGGGTGGGTGGCAGCATGGAAAACTAAAGGTGCCAACTAAGCACCACCATTTGAGATGCAACAGGTAAGCAATACCCCCCAAGCATTTTTTATTTATTGTCAGCTCCCCCCTACCCCCCAGCAAATTTAATCTGTTCCTAGCAATGGACCAGCACCAAATACCTGTAACTGGGGTACAAAACTAAAAATAAAACCTTAGTCTTTCTTGGTATTGGATGGAAATGCAAATAAGTGGTAAAGCTTATGCTGACTATTTAGTCAAAGTTCAGCACTTATATCGGCCATGTTTTTGGTGCAAAGGAGGGTTAGCATTAGGGTGAGGGTAACCCTGTTTTTAATCTGAAAGCCTACACTCAAACCTGCTTGGAATAGGTCAGACATGGAGTGGAAATGACCATGACGATACATGCCGTTTAAAAGGGAGCCAAAGACCCAAAGACAGCCTCAAGAAACCTCACTAAGGCAGCAAACTCGCTTCGTAGTACATCCCTCAGGACTCAAACTACCATCATATGTTCTGTTCCAACTTCCTGTTCTTTGTATTTACAAAATCTTGGGTTAGACAGTTACTGTGACTTAGATTAAGGCCTCTCTACCCCTCACCAAAAACCGAGCACAAACATTAGCTAGCAGTTCAACAAAATGCCGCAAATCTGATCACAGAATATCAGGCTGCACCACTGCAATGAGTGTGTATCGACTTTTAGCAGCGTAGGTGTGTAGGTCTGCCTGGAGAGACTCATACCACGCCAGCAACTCGCGTCAAGACGTCCTCCCAGCCAGTGGACACCAGCTGCCCTGAGGCATCCTTCACCATGGGCTGAGTGAGCCGCTGACGCTTCAGCCCATCATACGCGAAGCTGTGGGTGGGAAGGGTGTGAGGTGAGTCTGCTGGCGCCCACACAGCGAGCTGCAGGGGTCTGCCCTGAGCGGAGAGTCACCGCGGCCTCACCGCGTTTTATCCGAGATCCACTCCTCGTTGACGTCCTCGTTGAGGCGTGGCAGGATCCTCATTACCTCTCCCCCCCTTGTGCTCACTACAATATTACTCCCCACCGCATCCAGGACATCGATCGATTCAGTCTTCCTATAAGCAGAAAGATCTTGGAGTCACCTGCCTGTCCTCCATCCAAAAAGATAACTTGGCTTTCCATGGTGGAGATGCTGTCAGAGCGAGTGGAATGGAATACCTGGTCTCCCAGGGCCGGGAGGTGAACGCATAGGGTTTGGAAGTCAGGGCCCCGACAGGACAGATGTCGATCACGTTCCCCGACATCTCGGACATGAACATCTTTTCCACGTAAGTGCCCACTTGCATCTCGTTGCCCCGTCCTGTGGTGCCCAAATCATCCACACCTGCAACTTCACTGGCGAACCTATGAAAGGGAAAGAAACATTTGTTACCCTGAGATCGAGGCTACCAGGGGGACAGGGGCGGCATTAGCCCCCCAGTACAATGCCACACCCTGGAAGCCAGCCATGATCATGTGGCCGTCATGGACAAGCTGGCTGGTGTTGGCGCCCCCACTCATGCGGCTCACCGAATGCAGCGTGTGCACTGGATACAGCGGGTCATGATGGTCTTAATGAGGGGCCCGATGTTTTTGTCCTCCACGGCCCTCTTCCCCTCTGTGAATCGGCTCCGGTCGCTACCGAACATCATGGACTGATCCTAAACCCAGCAGAAGATGCAAAAGGAGCTCACAGCAGCAATTCCCTTTGCCCGTTGGGCCACACCAATCCATAGAGACTGGATACAAGAGCTTAGAAGACTCATTTCTATTAAAACAAAAAACAACACTTACCTCCAGTTACGAGTCTTTTGTAACATCTAAGCTACACTGCAGAAAACTACAGTGTAGAACTACACCAATTATCGTAGTGCCAAAATCATAAAATTTGCATATTTTAAGATATTCATTCCAGAAAGTTCTGTAGTGTTATACTTTCCTCGTTTGTTGAAGCTGCCTGGCACAAAAAAACCCTTGTGGACCACTCCCTGTTCTACCAGTAGACTCTACCAGAACCAGATTTTCTGTGGGTTAAGTCTCCCACCTCCTCATGTTTACCTGAAGGTCGCACTCTCCTCCCTGGTCACAAATGGGGCAGTCCAGAGGGTGATTGGCCAACAGAAATTCCATCACACCCTCCCTACGAGCAAAAACATTGTCACAAATGTAGAAAATGAAGAATACTGCTGACTGACATGTTGTCAAGCAGCAGCAGGCGAAATTAGCGTTTTACTTTAATATGAAAACGTATATAGAAATATAAAGATCACTGACACCATAACAACCATACCTTGCTTTCTTGGTTTTCTCTGAGTTGGTAAGAATGTTCCAGCCCTTCATGACAGGCATGGCGCAGGAAGCCACGGGCTAGGAGATCAGAATATAAAGTCATCACCATGACGGTCACAGAATAAAAATCAAAAACAAACGAAAACTGAATTGGCTCAGGGCTTGTTCATTCCTCACCACTGTCACCCGAGTCCTGAGCATCGCCAGGACGAAACCACACCGGAGTACGGAATTCACCCAGGCTACATGGGTGTTATAGATGTGCAGTTGCCAGTGTCACAGGTGAACTGAATGTGTTACATTTTCCCTACTAGTTGTGCATAGTTACGCTGTAGTGTTACGCATGTAACAATTCACCTAATTCACATTTAAGTTCGATTCATGATTCAATCTTCCTACAATATTTTTGAGAGAAAAAAAGAAACATTTTATTACCCAAAAATGCAACATCTATTTTCCTATTTTTTATCAACTTAAACATCCCTTTATTTAAATTAAGAAAAACTTTTGTTTCATTTTCTTAATACCCAACAATAATTATTTACAAACATTTGGAAAGGTTTGAGTAAAATATAGCAGTCTTTCAACTAAAATATTCCTTTTATTAAAAAAAGAAATAAAGTTACTAACAAATAGCCCTTTCTTAATAACCATTCTGCCATTCCATAGTGCTATTTCTGCAGGTTGGTTGGTTGGTAGTGGAGCAGGCCAAGTTACAGATAAGACAAATTAAGAGATTACACTGCCTAATAATAATTTGAGCTATATCAGTTAATTTCTTAATTTTTATTTCCACGATTCAAATCATCATAAATTTGTACTGTGATTTATCATCAAACAATATATTGTTATGTGGCTATGCGGTACTACGGCAAAAAATTAGGAAAGAAAAATCCAGAGTGAGATTTAAAGATTCAAATTGAAAGCACATCCATGATGCAGTGGAATGTTTGCTCCGGCGATCCACACCTTTGGGGCTTTTTCGATCTCCACCAGACACATGCGGCAGTTCCCGGCCACGGAGAGACGCTCATGGTAGCAGAATCGCGGTATCTGCACCCCGACCTTCTCACAGGCCTGTGTGACATCCAGAGAAGCCACTCAATGTTTCAGAACACACAGATTTTCTCACAAGTATTAAGACAAAAGTATTTAAAGTCGAGCCACAAAACACATCCAAACCCTGCCTTGGTACTGCTGTCTTGTGGTGAAATATGCAGCATTACGCCCTCCTTTAAGCTGGAAAGAAATTAAAAACTAAACAAGCAGCACAAATATTTCAGAGGTTCGTTCACCTGCAGCACTGTGGTTCCTGGCTCTACCATAACAGGTTTTCCATCCACGAACACCTCCACCAGGTTACTGGCTGCGGTAGCAGCTGTGCGGACTGTAACACACATGAAATAGATCAGGGCCCAGTTTCTCGAAACCTTCTTAACGCTATGCCATCCGTAAGTTCTATCTTTTAACATAACAGGCTGAAATTAATTTCTACAGTAAATACAGCGAACATCTACTGCTGTCTGATTTTGTACCGATAATAATTTGAAACAGCTGAAATGACAGCGAAAGGAAAAACGATTATCTTTGGATGTTGGTTAAACAAGACTGTTAGCACAATCTCATATTTAACCAGACCTGGCAGCATCCCTAATCGCCACCAGGCATATCAAGCCTATTACAGCCTAATGCACCGTTATGAGACCTTCTTTAGAGCTTATCTGCTAGAACAACATGCTGAGAAGGGACAGACCAAACGCATTACCTAAAAACGATCACATACAAATAAATATATAAAAGAGGAAACATACCATTGCTGGTGGCCGCCGCAAACCCCTTGGAGGGGGCGACACCGGACAGCGCGCGGGTAACGGCCGGCAATCGCAGCATGACGCCACCTGGGCATTGGAAACCATGACACCACGTATCAGGAAAATGACTCCACTGCATACAATGCTATTTTGCCTTATTAATGGCGCAGAACAAGCATTTCTAAGAAACGAGGTCCCCTTAACATCGATCAAGGCAAATCTGCTCCATCGCCCTACAAGCTTCTGTCAGCAGCAAATCAAAGCCCGGCGCGTATAAACCGTCCCATTTTTAGAAATAAGCCGATCAGTGACCAGCTGGCCAGTTAACATCCAGCAATTATGCATTTCAAGTCGCGACCAGTGAACCAGTTCTGTAAATCAACAATTAAGAGCTACGTTTCAGTAAAGATGATGAACATTGCATGCTTCTCAAATACAGCATACAACAACACTGTTCACTTCTGGATATGGAAGCTTTTTTGTGGGGGACGGACGCATAAACAAACACAGGTTACATGGCATCTCTTTTACTCATTTACTTTTATTACAATTCAATTCTTATACACAGATATATCACTGCTTGCCTGCACTGTTGACAAGATCATCCAAGTAAGGCGGTCACAAAAGTGTGACCGCACACAAATGGCTAGAGATGGGTAACATAAACCATAAATCAACGAGACTGCTAACTCGGTTTGCTAGTTAACTTATAAATTTAAATTACATTTAGAAGACCCTCACGAAAAGTGTTTTCTATAGTGCATAATCAAATCATAAGCTTCTGATCTGGTATCTCACTACAACTTGCTAGCAAGTCAAGGACACGGAGAGCACGGAGCCATATCACTGGTAACTCTAGTTTAGGTCACGTTTGCTCAGTCACTATAGAAAACAGCACTTACATACTAAACAACGCATGCAACTCAAATGGAATTCTGTGCTTTATAAGAATAACAATCCAAAGCAGCCTGATATTATATTTTACCTCGTCGCTACTTGGCCTTCTGGACTAGAGCAGCGACTCTACGTCACACGGCAATGGCGACTTCGGGTAAAACCGGAAGGGGTGACGGAAGCAGCCGAACTCCCTCGGGCCTTTAACTTCCAACTAAATAAGTAAAAATAAAAATCTAAATGAAATAAAATTAAATGTACCTAGTCGGTTGTATCAAAAATCATTAAAATATACAAAATGTGTTAGTCACTTATTACCTTTCACCTTGCTGTTTCGTAACTTCCGGTCGATTATTGTGCGTTAGTTCAGGCTGTATCTAATTTGGTTGCATCTGCTTTGCAAATAAGTATATGTATTTGTTACGTTAATAAAAAGTTAATTGTATAAGCATTCGAAAATGTGTTAATCTCTTGTTTGTTACGTTATTAGCGTTATGTGTACTGCTACAGTTCTGGATGAGTCACAACGGCAGCCTTCAATCAATATCGTGCATGCTTAGAAGTTTTCTACTAAGCAAAAAAAACTTGTCATGTAAAAGCTAAACTTCTACTGTTTTAGTCTTATATACCACCTTGTTTGTAATTTTAATAAAGACGCGATGTTTTGTTTTATTTCCCATTTTGAGCAAATACATTTGCCAGCTCTCGCCATTTGATTGGATAGTAACCATTACGTGAAAGGAGGAGCCAGTCTGCTGCCCTATAAATGATCTGACTTAAACCAGTCGCCCTCTTTCCTCCGTTATCAAAAAGCAGTGTGTTGTGGTATAACAGGGCGCGAGTTAACACGTGGGCTTACAATGGGCCACAGTGAATTATCAGATCAGCCGAAGATCCCCGACTGCTGTTTCGGCTATCACCGTTATCAAGTGGTAGGTGTTTTTCTCTTTTGAATTCTTTACCTATGAAAACGTTAGCAGTCACTTAAAGCTGATTAAGTTGAAAATAGAACCCGTATAAAATTCAGGTTTCTGGTGTGAACAAAACTATGCAGAAATGCCTCTAAAGATGTCGAAAGAAATGTATTAAGATGTTTTGCTATCTAAACGTTGGCTTGGGCCTGACCATGACCGTCTGTTCTCCATTTCGGTAGTAGGTTTGCAAATATGAGCGACGTGTGTTTTTGATGTGTAGCTACTTCACAGCTTAAAGGATATTTGAGTTATGGATTGTAACTTGTGTGTAAACTGCATATTTGCTTTTTCTCCCCACCACACAGGATATGACATAGCGTGTGGCATGAGGTGAACTTTGCCCACCACCTGAAACTTGCCGCATTAGGTCATGCCATCTGTCGTGATGTCCCAAGTCAGGGCAGCCTGAAATAGGCCAGGTAAGGACTGTCTTCTCTGCTGTGGAACATCGTGCAGTTTGAGGCTAAGTGATGATTCATTTCACCATCTTTCGCCTGAGAGCGTGATGCACATCTCTCTACAGCCTGATTAGCCAATGTCTGCTGCAGTGTATGTGCTGCCCATGGTGTACATACCCTAACTGCATTTCCCTCGTGGTCTTCCCAGAGTGACTACTCTAAACGTGACCGTAGGCTTCAGTGCAGTCCAAGAGGGCGTTCTCCTGCTGAAGCAATCGTATGTATCTGCATTGTGTGGTGAATAGATTGTCAACTGTGTTAATTTAATTGTGATAAGCTGTCTGTTAAAAATCCACAGACGGAGCTGTAAGCAATCTCCCAGCTGAGATGTGACGAGGTTGGGAGTTTTTTGTGATTAACTGGAGCTTTTTTTTTCCTTGTATGCTTCATATGCTGTAACAATGCTAAATTTGGCCGTTCGGTGGATTGCACTTGTGCATTATTGAATGGGTGTAGAGTCCACTGACTGGTGCCAGGTAATCAGATTAGGACTTTGTTGCCCGTGACTCTGATTGTGTAACAAATGTGTACAATAATAAAAGCACTACTGCAAATACTGGTTTGCTGGTCTTGCATCTTGTGTGAAATTCCTTTGCCCTGAATGAAAATGTAACTTCTCTTCGACGCTCGTTCCCAAGACGTCGGCTGGGTTCAATATGCAAATGTTGCGCCTGCCTGAATCATTTTGTCACAGAACGGAATGCGATATTCTAGTCCAAACGCCATGTTTGTACAGTGTTAATTTAGTAATTTATTGAATACTAACGAGACAAAAGGAAATCACTTTTAAAAAGTCCCAAGCGAAACTTGGAAATGCTTCCGCTCATTACATCCTCTAGCTGACCCTTTCGTTTGGTCGAGCTGTACCACCAAGCGGAAACTGGTATAAGATCCCCACCAACCCTTACAAAAGTGCAGTAAGGTGTAAATATTCAAGCTACATCTGCTTCCAAGCAGTGTGTGATGGCAGCAGCCATCTTTTTACCGGGAGATGAGGCGCGTCGCGCGTGCTGACGTCACAGCCACCGCGGGAGGGAAAGGGTCGGTGTACTTAAATACGGCGCCGACGGGTTCCGACTGGACCGGCTATCGAGACCAGATGCGAGCCAATCGGGTGCGACAAAGCGGCGCTATTTGCGATCGTCGTCGTGATTATTGCGCGTCTTCGCAACGGGCACTAACGAGCTCGGTTCTGCTTGTTTCGCTACAACCTACCGGTGGTTGTCCGTGGGCCTGACAGGTGGAAACACGCGTAACTAGCTGCACAGACGGACTAGCTGCTCGCCTGTCCAGCATTTCTGCTGTTACGAGACTGCGGTTACAGGAACTAGCGTCACGGATATTTTTCCTCTTCACGCTAGTGGACGCTGATTGTATTTTGGTGTTTATGGACCTGAGTTTTCATTCGCTTTTTTGACAGGCCTAGCTAGTTAGCTGTTAGCTCCCCTTATGTGGCAGCCAATCAGCGTCATCATCATAGCGGAAGCGGCTCAGAAGCCTGGTCACGTGTCTATACGCGGTAAGAGTCAGTCAGGCCCGTAAAGGCAAATATTCGGATAGCATCATCAAAAACTAGGCGGCTATGGAGTATAATACGATATCTCGATGCAGAAATAAAACGCCAGTAAATCATTGTTTTTCTACTGAATGCGAAGCGCAAATCGGCACGTTTGCATTGCATTTAACTTCCAGAAGTAGCGTGTTGTCAGAATAAATTAACTCACGTTTTGCTATTTCAGTAGCGTTTGTGAACTGCTTTGCTTGCTGTTTTTAATATCTTGTTATATAGCGTTAGTCGTGCTTAATGGAACACCCATAAAATATTAGAGTTGTATTCATTATTTTTATATATGCTAACATCGAGATACACGGATGTGTATAGTACGTAGACGTCCTGTTGACAGCGTGGCGTCTGGAAGCGTCACTACGTTTTTGCAATGATACCACTTTGAAACAAACATATAACTGCACCTTTATGTCAGATACATAGTATGCCGTAATTTATACTTCATCCGTGATTTAATTTTATTGAACTTTGTAAAATAAGTCGATCCTTGACTAATTGCTGGGATTTTGTTAATGTCTTGTTTTTTTAATTCATCATTTTGCTTCAACATTAAACACCGCTAGTAAAATAGAACAACCATCGGATTCAGATGAGAAATAATTTCTGTAATGTAAATTTAATAATCACATCACTACTCACTTCCTTATAGTTGTAAAGTTGCTTTTATTTGTATACAGTATGGATATATCAGTTTTGGCCGTTTTTAGCCAAAACATGGTTGATTTGTAATTCTGTTAGGGCATGATACTTTTAGGAAATTGATATAATAGGTTCCTGCAACCCTGCATAGGACAAGCGGATATAGATAATTGATGTAATGCCACTGTTGATAATATTTTTGCCGTTGTGTTTTCGTATAATAACCACTCGGATCTTTTTTTGAAGATTTGACAGTGGAAATCATCTTGAGACTTCTCCTAAGAAATGCTGGTGATTGGGGATGATTCTCTGCGCTATGATTGGCCAGTCTGTGACGACACAATACCCTGACTCATTGTGAATTCCGTACCAACTGCTGCCGGAAATGTAAGTATTTAACAGGACTGCCATCCTTAAACTGACCACAGATTGGATTACATACTTGCAACTTCTTTTTCCCTAAAGAAAGTATTAAATAATGTTCTGCCCTAGACTGAATTCTTTCTGTAAGACTGCATTTGGCCTGATGTCTTAACTGAGTATTTAAGACCAGCCCAGTGATTGATTATTTATGCCTAAAAGTACATGCAGTCACAATGAAAGAAACTCAGTCGCTGCAACATTAATGGTTACGCTCGTGTTGTTGTGTTTCCTCAGATGCATGATAAGACGATGCCTGCTGAGGGGCGCTCTTCTCCCTCCGGTCAAGGTAAGAGAGGGGAGGACAGAGCGAGGGGAAAGGAAGAAAAATGCTACAGCAGAGCATTTGAGAAACTAGCTTTCACCAGAGTTGCTGACTGCAGTCGGGCATGGAATTGCTGACTTGCGAGTCAGATGTAGAAGGGCTTTTCTGCTCCTCTGCCTATTAAATCATAGGTGATGGTATGTGCCTAAAGTGTGCCCTGTGGTTTTTTGGCAGAGGCACATCGAGGCCAGCCTGAGACTGTCAGTAAGCAAGAGAGGACCAGCGCGTGAGTCCACGACCTGTGCCGGGGTGTGGGGGCATGATTCTGTTAATTGAATGGTGTGGGTGCCTGGCGATGGGGTTGGGCCCATGTTATATATGTACAGCACATGTGGCCTCGCTGGGCCCTACTCTGTCTGGTTCCTCGTATGTGTCAGTGACGTTTGAGGGCTATTGCCTTTAGGATGTACCTTAATACTTAGGCTCCTCTCAGTCTCAGGAGCAGCGCAGCTGAGCAGCCTGTCCCCGGTCCCTCTGGCGTCCCCCAAAGGCAGGGCTTCTGCGGCTTGTGTCAGGTCATCTACGACAATGTGGAACAGGTACCAGACCCTGAACTTCCCAGCTGAGTTGTTTGCTCACCTCACAGTGTGCCCAAACAGAGGTGAAGGGTTTTATAATGAGAGGAGCAGTTTGAACAGCAGAAAGAGCCACAAATATCTGTGTGGAGACATCTTTCAGTTTAGTGCATTCAGGATTTTAGGGCTGACTGCAGTCTGAATAGATGAGTTTTGGTTCTTTTCTCAGGGAGCAGGGGGATTTTTGCAGTCTGGAGGCTTAGGAGAAGCCCAATACACTGCACAGATCAATGTCAAAAAGACGAAGTGCACCTTATTTTCTGATCTTTCACAGCTGGAACAGTTAGGCTTCCTGACTTATAGGAACCCCGTGTTCTTGAAGTTATCTTAGGTTTGATGAGATCCTGTAGATGTCATATTGGGATTGAGATCTCATAGATATTCTGGTGCTCAAGGGTTTGATGGGCACCAATAAATGTCATGTTGCTGTAGGGTTTGAGATCTTGTAAATATGCTGGTGCTGTGGGGTTTGATGGGATCTCATAGGTATGGTGTCTGCAGTTTCCTTGACAGCCCTCTAGGTAGTATCCGGTATTTAAATTCTGAAGACCTCTAGCAGATAGCAAGCTAAGAGAGACCAATCAGGAAGTGAGAGGTGAGCGTTTGGGGGGGGATCTGACTCGCGCAGCAGTTCTCCGGGCATGAGAGTTCAGTGTGCCTTGGCATTCCCGTAGCACATCCTGAGCTCCAGACACCGGGAGGTGGTGAGGGGAAGCCGGACATGTGTGCCAATCGGGAGCCTCATGGAGCGATTCCTGCAGGACGTCATTCAGCATCACCCAGACCACTACAACGACGTCACGTGAGTAACGGTGCCATTGTCTACACAAACCTGTTCATGCGGTCTCAGGCTGGGTGACCGACAGCTGTGCTCCATGTGAGCCGCAATCTTTCATCCATCCATGTTACGTAACTGCTTAGTCGGCACAGGGGCAAACCACGCCGCCTTCCGGAATGCTTGTTCTGGTGCCGGATTTACACCTGGAACTGGGACAAGGCAGCTTGGTGTCCAATTATCTGCTGAGGTTAAGCAGTCTATTCCGTTTCTCGGAATTTTATTAGACTTGCGTACTTAATTTTATTAGTGGGTGAAAAATATGTGAAACTTATAGCTCACAGTTTGATCAAAATAATTATCAAAATCTGGAATTGTTCTCAGAATTGTCTTAGTTTGTCAATAATAATTAATTGTGTAGAATTTCAAAGATTGTTTTCAAAGTACCACATGGATGTGATATTTTAACCAAGTTCCCAAGCCTGATCCCTCACAGGGTTTAATGTCGTGTGATTGACAGCTGTGACACGGTCCCTAACCCTCACAGGGTTTAATGTCGTGTGATTGACAGCTGTGACACGGTCCCTAACCCTCACAGGGTTTAATGTCGTGTGATTGACAGCTGTCAGACGGTCCCTAAGCCTCGTTTGGTGACCGGAGAAGCAGCCAACATTTCGATCCCTGTTTGGAATCAGATGCCAGTAAGGGCCTTTTGGGAAATTACATTTTATATTAGTCTGCCAATCACTGAATTGGCCTGTCTCTACAAAGACCCATTATGATATTGTAAAAGTTTTATTGACATTTTACAGTCAAATTCTTTGTTTGGCTGTGTGTGAAATAACGGAATGAAGAATTTTTTTATAATTATTTTTTTTTAATAGTGTTAAAGGATTTTCATAACGGATAGTGGCATGTCGGGAAGAAGCCTAGGGGTGGGTTGTTACCAGTCCCGGTCACTTGTACTGTCTCCACGTGGTTAAGCAGGTTCAGGCTGTATCTCACAGCCAGATGGTTCACACGTAGGTCTGGGCTGTGTGATTTTCCCTTTTCCAAAGTGGCAGAACATTTTGGGGAGGGGGTGTTAATGGTTCAGATAATATACATTCTCACCTTTAGTCTAAAAGGAGAGTTGTTGATAGCCTGCGTGTTAAAATGTTTTAAATATATGTAGCTGACATTATAGTTTGGGTATGTATGTGCCCTGTAATGGACTGGCGTTGCATTCAGGGTATACCCCTGCCTTGTGCCCTCTGCTGCTTGGGATGGGCTCCCGGCCCCCCCACGACCCTTACCAGGAGTTTGGAGAATGAATGGATGGGTTAAATGCTACTGCTATCATCTCTCCTTTATTATTTTGATTATTGGCCTCCGTGGGCCAGTTGACCTGTTGTTTATTTTGTCTTCACAGGCCGACGCATGCTGATCTCCCATCCCTGAACTGCCCTCTGGTCCCAAGGGAGGAACTCTCTGACTTGTGCTGTGTGCTGGAGGATGACGGGGACACGGTTGGCACCCGTGAGGAGATGCTCAGCACTGATGATAACTCCTGCCATTTCCTATTTGTAGAAGATACTGGTGACTTTCGAGAGAAGGGCTCACAAGACACCAGGAGTGATGTTGCTACAGATACTCTTGTAGCTTCACGCACAAGTAGGTCGTCAGATGGAGATAAGAAGAAGTTGGGCCAAAACCGAAAACCCGTCAGCAAACACTCCCCTATAAAGGGCTTTTTACACAGGACTAGTTTTAGGCAGGTCCCAGCCCCAGTGTGTGCTCATAGCGCCCAAGTACCAACCGTCAGCCAACCAGTTAACTTACCTGGTCCTCTTCATCGAAAAGCTCACAGGAAGACAGATCGACGGAGAAATAAAAATGACTCCGCTTCATCTAGTTCGCCGGCTCCCAGGGCTAGTAAATCCAGGCTGGATCCTCCACAGAAACTAGAGGCCAGGAGGCCAGCTGTGGGGCCATCAGTACAGCCCAGCTTGCAGGGTATCTCCAGGGTTCAAGCTCCCCTTAGTGACCATTCTGAAACAGTAGAAAATGTGATAGAAGCGGTGATTCAGAAGTATTGTTATGGATTCAGTGATAACGAGCATCAGGGAGAAAAGGACAGCTTCCATTTGAGTCTAGGCTCAATCACCAACCCAGATTTTTCTGATTCTGGAACTAGCCTGGAATGGGATGTCCCTGCTCAGACTGTGTCAGAAGTGGCCAAGCCAGACGTAAAAGATCTCGGTTATCTCATGGAGGTGCATATAAATTTGGAGGACCAGAAGTACAAAAGTCAGTTAGACAATGCACTGAACCTTCTGCCTGAAGAAGAAAAGAGCAGCAAAGTGGGATCAGGGGGAATGAGAGAGGAGACTGATGGGGAAGTTCTACCTGCATTGCCACATGTACCTCAGTCCTTTGTTGGAAAGACATGGTCCCAGGTCATGTATGAAGATGACTTGAAGATTGAGGCCATGGTACGAGAATTCAGAGAAGGACGCTTCCGATGTTACTTTGAAAGTGAGTCCCATGCAAAATACAGAAAAGGGAGCAATAAGCAAAAGAGTAAGGAGGGACCTTTGGCAGAGGATGTGAGGGCAAGTGGGGATATTATTCCCCTCATGGACCATCCTGAAGATGACGCCTTCTGTGACAAGGGGTTCCAAAAGAAGGCAGGCCGCAGGACATGGAGACTGGCCTCCCGTTGTCAGGTAGTGAAGGTCAGTCACAGCACCCAGACCACCACACTGTCTGGACCTGTTGTCAAAAGCAGAATCTTGGAAAAGTCTGCTATGTCCACAACTGGATGTGAGGTCCCACAAAACCTTAGCATAGAAAGGACACCTGACATGAAGACCAGACTATGTGCATTAAAATTGCCAGAGTCATACAGCAAAATCATGAGCCCTTTGCAACCTAAAACAGTGGTATACGTCCTATCTTCCCCTGACTCTGGTCCAGGCCCCTTGAAGCCCCTCACCATCAGGAAAGTTGGTCGGAAACGAAAATCCTCAGAAAGTGAAACTGCATTAAAGTACAAGTACAAAAAGACCCCACTGAAGTACTATGACCCACTGACCAACAGGATCCTTAAGACTCCACCCAAGGGAATGGTTATAGGGAAACCCAAAATGCTCCCACATGTTCGGCAACTGTTCAGGAGCCTCAGCCCAGACATAAACAAGGAGAAGCAGTCTGTGGAGCAGAAAGAGCCACAGAGCTCTTCGAAATGTCGGGGCAGCAGCATGCCAGACTTCTGTGCCTCTACGTCAGGTTCATGTCTGGAGAGTATTGGTGCTTCTGAGCTGGGCTCCTCTGTTTCGAGCAGGAGGGCGCTCTTCAGCCGCTCCTCCTTATCAGGCAGTGGTCGTTTTCTGCCCAGGGCCCTCACTCCTGCTCCTTCTACTGAAAGCACCGCAAGGGGACTTCCCACTGAGTCTGTCGAATCCATTCAAAATACTCCAAGGAGGGGTCATAGACGTGAAAGGCAAAGTCCTGGAGTAGAGTGTCTGAAAGAGAAGTCTTTAAATCCTGCAGAAAGTCCCTCGCCTCCTTACAGACCTAGAACAGTCTCGACAAGATTGACGACCAGGAGAGGACAAATGATAACGGAGCTCCCCATGAAGCCCTGTGCAACGGGACAACAGTCTAAGCCAGGTGAACACAGGAAGCATCCGCCCAAGGGGTTTCTACCGAAAGCAAAGGCCCAGGGTGCCCCCCAGCACAGGGAAGCACCACAAAGAGTCACCAGGAAGAAGCCAGCCAGAACTAAAAGCTCAGTGAGGAACTCCTCTCAAACCCCAGGCATGCAGAAAAAAAGTACTGGAACCCTGACTAGATCCTCCACCAGGCACCTCTCTGCACCCCTAGGCCCTCAGAAACTGAGAAAGAGAGTGAAGAGATAGGACCACCCAAGGCTGACTGTAGCTACTTTCCCCTGTGGGGAATCACTACTTAATGCACTAATGCCAATGGTACTGTGGAATCACTGTCATTCAGCCCTATGAAAGCTATATGAAAAAAGGGGAAAGGAGTGACCAAAATGATGCTGATGTCTATCCTCATTGAAAAATGGTAATGTTTTGCACAGGGTGTAGCTCCAGAGGGGAATATAAACTATTATTTTTTGTTTTTCTACAATTAATCAGGTTATTTTTTTAAGTTTATAATAAATATTTTTCTCTGAGGTTGTCTGTTTAATAATTGTAAATTAAAGTTGTACATGCTTAGTGTGAAGTGTGTTACAGTGGGTGTCTCGTTCAGTAGGATTGCTTGCTCAGCCTGAGTTCTCAGCATCTGGAGCTTTTCCAGTGCTTCCAAGAACATTGTAGATAATGTGAGCCGTACCCGAGTCCTACGCGTGCTGACATGGTCTTGGTGAGTTTGCTCAAGAGTGTGACCAAACTGAGCTGGTTGTGTCACCAACATCTGCACGGAGATGCTAGTAATGTGTCGATATGCATAGATTATCTGAAGGAACAAAGGGCATATCGCTTGTTGTAATGTATTGATGCATTCCCAATTACTCGGAAGTTGAAAATTTCCAACCGCCTACTTGAAAAAAGCACTATAGAACAGCTGAACTGAATGGATTTGTAATACTAATTCTGCTAACGTTTAATGCTAGCAACGCAAAGTTTCTCACAAATGTGCTAGGGGAAACTAGCATATAATAAACCCCGGTGTACACCATGTGAACAGTAAATAAGCGTTTCATCAGTTTTACGTCACTGCTGCTGTCTAAGTCCAGCAACACCTTTACTGAACCGACCCTTCTGCAGTGGAAAATCGAAGCAAGCTGGAACTGTGCTGTGACTAGTTTCAATTTGTAGTACGGGTTGGATATGGCCTGGTTCCTGTACACCAGTGGAAAAGCACCAATAGTTCCCAGTGTATTTTGCTGCCTTTCCCAGTGAAAACCAAAGTCTAGTTCATGTTCACATGGGCCTCACTGACTGGCTAAGTAATTTCACTGGGGTATATGGTGTCCCTCATTCATGGCTGGCAGAGAGAACTCTCAGTGTTAGCTAGGAGCCTGCAGCTGCCCTGTGGGCACAGTGTACTTGTCTGTCCTATAACCAGGGGTGGATAATTCAGGTCCATAATGTAAAAATCCACACCAAGATTTTTTTCTCTTAACCAGTCCAGTAGAAAGAGCCACAGAGCATTCAATTGTTGGTTGAAACAAAACCTTAGCATGGGTTTTAACGTTCTGGACCTGAACTTGTCTTCTCTTTGGATCTCCATGTGCTTGAATCTCCCCTTTTGTCACCCAGAAGCTACTTGTGACAAGTGCATCACCTCTGCAAGCAATTTGGATGGATACAGTTCACATGTTTTCAAACAAGTGACCATGATGTAGTGAGAAACTATTTTTTTTTCTTTCTTGAATCTAGTAGCGGGTGTTAGATAGAGGCTGGGCTGCAGAGAGCTTTGGGCAGGTGACAGAGCTCAGCTTAGATCTCCTGCTGGGCGCGAAAGTTAGCGTGAGCAAAAAGCTTGAGCTGTGGATGGGTGTCTTGTCCATTTTTATGCTGAATGGATTTGCAAGAATGCTGGCTTGGCATCTACCTGCAAATAAGGTCAGTACACTGCCAATATGCCCCCACATCCCCCACAGTGACCGCAAAAATCAGTCCATACAGCTGACACCTACACATCCTGAATGGTGTCCACATACTCTGGATAATATTAGCTGAATTTACTTTATAAGCAGATATTTTGTAATTTACATTATGTTGTATGCTGTGCAGCATATTATCTCATTACACTATATTATATACCAAAGCATTCTGTTTTCATTTCTTTTTGTTTTTGTCATGCACACATACATTCAGTACTGTGCTAGATACTTCCTGGATTCATTCAGACATTTGGAGAATGCTTTTCTTGTTAACATCAGACACACGCTCAGTTTTGTTTATGACGGGCTGGGTTTAGCACCGGCTGCGGCTGTAACTGCCCTGACACTGATATTCCCACGGGCCGCGGAGCCGGGTCCGGTATGACCTCATTCTCCTTAGAGGACGAGCGGGCGCGCCACCCACAGGCTGCGCCCAGAGGTGCAAATGGGTATGATAATGCGTTTGTAAGACGGGAGCGAGTAATAGGAACGGAGGGAAAGGGGTGGGTGGCGAATGCTTTCTGCACTTGCGCTGTTGCAGCGTCAGGATTAGTTGGCTTGTTGATCTCGGTGTCTAACCGCTGCCTTCCATCAAAGCCCCCTCTCTTTATACCTCCACGCCCCCGCCCACCTTAATCCCCTCCCTTGCAGGAGTCCCCTCTCTTCCCGCAGGACTCAGGAAGGGTTTCTCATAAACAACTTCTCTGCCATAAGGATGGGCCACAGACCGATCGCTGCGTTGACATGTTAATATCAAGCTTTTCTTAACCATCAGCTATGAATCATGCTTCTGACTTTGCTTCCAAATCTGCTTGTGAGCATCCTGGGGTTCTGGTTGCACCCATTCGGTTATGCTTCCACCGGTATGTGAAATATTAATCCGGTTTTTATAGTAAGGAAAATGATTGTTCTAACTTTGACAAATTGTTATGCATTTTCAGTTGTTGTTTTGTTGATTAGAAACGATTTTCGTATTTTCTGTGTGTTGCGCAAATGAAGAACAGGTGAAAGTGCTGTATAATTAAAAATTTAGCATATTGTCTCATATTCTAGCTGCAAACTTAAAGAGAGCATTTAAGAAATCTTTTAAAATATTGATGCATTAAAAAGAATTAATCCTTTAGCGTTGACATTGACAGTAAGTTGTTCAAGCGATAAAACACGCTGCATTAGGAACTGAGCTGGTCTCTTTTGATAGATAATATTACAGCAGTGATTTCAAGGATCCAGAATTTATTTCGGTGTGCTGTTAACTATAGCATAAAAACGCAAGTAGTTATTCTTCTGTTCACATAACGAGTGACTTAAAGTAACCGCTTTGCTTAATAAGTTAACGATTAAATAACCGCCGCAATCAGTTTTGTGTCAATGTCATCGGTTTCTGGTGTCACCCGAAATTCACGTCATGCAAATCCGTCTTGTCGGGATTTATTCTGCAATATAGTCTTTGATATGGGTTTCAGTGTGTGAGCTAGACGACCTCATGTACCCGTGTTTTGATGCATTACAATGCAACGTAAAGGCGTGTGTTGCAGTGATGGAAACCGGAGCCGCTAACACAATTTTATCAATCCTTATATAACTGAAAAGGAACATTTGCATGAAAAGAACGTACAAGGGCTAAAAAAAGAACGCGGCCCCTTTTTGTTTTCCGCAGTTCCCCCGGCAGTAGAGAATGAGGCGATAAAGGATGCGGTGTTTGAGACGCTGGGGCGGGAGCAGCGGACTGCAGCAGCGGACACCGATAACAGCACACAGCACCCGTCCGAACATGAGATCATTTACCCCTCCCGACTCATCTACTACCTTAACGAAGAATCGGAGAGCACCTACCACGATTTAGACACTAGGGCAAAGAACCAAGGCACAGATGGACAGGTCAGTGGTAGACTCAACTGCTGCCGGGGCAGTCATTCTGTGTGGGAGCCACACTCTGCGGCAGTAACGGCACAGTGGCTGGCTAGTCTGCATTTTGGCATGATGCCTGTCAGGGAGAAGCCAGCAGTGGTGTCAGAGTTAGACACCTCTCCCTGGGGATGAAACTGCTGCTACCCAGGAGTCCATGCTGACCTCTGTCCTGGCACATCCTCTCTGCTGTGGTGCTCTGCATTGCTCAACACACAGTCCCACGCTGTGCTGAGATAGGCAGGTGGCCTGTCGCAGGATGCCGTCCCCCACCCCCGTCACCTCAGCAGTGACCTTCATAGTCCTTTCATCTGATTTTATTTCTCAGAAAGACACCAGTCCCTCAGTCACTCCTCCAGCTGTCCCTGATCCCTTGGGGTCCCCTGCATTTCAAAGGCAGCCTCTTCCTGCTACCCTTTTACTGGGTTTTGTGGCATCCAAAGAAGATATGGACAGAGAATCTCTTAGATGTGGATCAGTCACCATCAGAGAAGTCTTATTGTTAGAGCACATTGCCCGAACACCCCCAACACCATTTTAGGTCTCTACTCTAGTTTACATGATGGTCTACGCATAGGAGAGCCTTACCAGGCCATATTTGTCAGTGCTTTGAGGGGGCAGAGAAGATCAGGGGACATAGTTAGGACCAGATGGTCCTTATGTTCCATATTACAGCAAACCCTACCCCTGCCAAGATAGGCAAATGTGTTCTTGAATGGACGCTGCATCATACATCTTTTATGACCATTATACTGATGGTACAAGCCAAGGGATCCATTCAGAAAATGTTCCAGGCCAGCTGACACCCCATGCATGAAATTTACCCAAATGTCTTTTCTCGTTGCCACGTCTACGATTTGTAGCCCCCCTCCCACCCCGGCCGCACAACACCGTTGGCCTGTTTGAGCGTGCATCGCTCCTGTTGGCTGCTTCTGCTATTTTTAGGCTACATGATGACAATGATGACAGCACGCAAAGATTTTCCTCATCAGACCGACAGAGATCAGTTTGTGTTATTGACAAGCCGTATAAAGATATACATTGTCTAAGATGTGTTCCAGGTTTCTATTTGCTCTTGCCAAGTGAATTATGGGAAATAAAATAACTATTAATCTTAATAACAATACATGCCTTCATAATTAATTATCTTATTTTGCTATTTTATCGGTGTTCTAGTGCTGAATACTTTGTCTTTTTATTGACTTATTGTCTGTATCCTAGGTGGTCCACCTAGCCCAAGCCAGCTACCAGATCGAGGCCTTTGGTTCCAGGTTTATACTGGACCTGTCTTTAAATAAGTAAGTGCTGTTTGGGTCGAGCCTCATCTTCCTGTCAAAGTTTTGTTTCTGGCTAAAATTCAATGCACAAGTGTTATGAACATGATGCTAAAGACAATTGCTTGATTGTTTTGGGCACATCGGCTTCGGTAATTGTCTCTCTGTGGGTGCTACTCTACAAACATCATGGGCAGATCACCATTGATGCTTTAGATCAGGGCTATTCAAATCACGGTCCTCAAGGTCCGAGCCCTGCAGATGTTCCCGCCTTCCTTTACCTGTGAGCCAGGTGTGAAGCCTCTGACCAATCAGAATCAGTAATTATCAAACTAACTGCCTGGGAGAACTGAAAACAAGGCCTGGATCTGGAATCGAGTGCCACTTTGAAGAGCCCTGTTTTACATTCTGCAAGAGCCCGTCCAGTTGTTGGTGGTGATGACTGGTCCCATTTGTCGGTCCTTGTTATTTGACTTTTTCTAGTAGGCCACTGGCTGATTTCATTATTAACAAATGTAATGGCAGTGTATGTGTCTCTAAGCTCTGCTGAACAATGCAGCTGCAAAGCAGCTTAAAACAGGCTATTCCAGGTGGTGGCATTTTCCTCAGCAAGGGCGTTGTGGCGTGAGTCAGGTCTTTTTTTCAATCAAGCAGATAACAAGATTTTACTGAGTTTAGCACATTTTTAAGCAAGCTTGTCACAAAGTGGTCCACTGTTATTTTTTTTCTTTCTCAATAAGAAGTTAGAAAAAATGCAAACTGGAAATACTGAGAGAATTAAAGTTTCATCTTTAAATAATGTAGTCAGTGCATTGCTGCAAAATATGGCGTGTAAATGTGCATGTTCTCAGTGATGTGGTGATGTACCATATGAACTCTTGAATGTCTTGGAGCTGAATGGCGCAGTTTGTCAGGCCACTTATCCATTTGCGGCCTGTGAGTGATTTTTCATTTCATACGTGTGGGCACTTCTGTGTCCTCCTGTCCTCAGTAAGAGGGCTTGGAATACGTCGTGTGTTAGAGATGGGATGGTCACTACTGAAATGTCAGATAATGCAAAAGGTCAGCTAGTATGTGACATTAAGAACTAGTATGTGACAATAGAACACCTTCCCAATTCTCATTTCCGGTTCACTGTTCATCCAGCCCGTGGTTGCAGGAATTCGGGCCATTGGGTGGCGCTGTATTTTCATAATGGAATAACAATTCACCTGAGTAGCATGTCGGGTTTCCCACTACACGGATCCCACATTTATGGTAGGCAACACGTGAAACACGGATGTTGATTCCATGCCCAACAACTCTGGGGTGACGACACAACACCGCTGCACTCAACCCATCATGGGAGACTAATATATATATGGTGGATGATTATAAGGTGGAACAGAGAAGTTACTTAAGGAACCCAGACACTCTATTGCTGGTTGGCATATGGACGACATCCCACAATGCAGTGGGCTGAAATAAATGAGGCCCGCTAGGTTCCTCTGAGGTCTGGACGGGGATTCAAATAGTGCCAATACTGGAGAAGAAAATGGCTGTTCTGGCGTGGTTGTGTAGGACAGTTCAAAAGAGAAAAGACCAACGGAAAGGTCAGGCTGCCTTGACCAAACCTGAAAACCATGCTGTGGTTTGTCTTATGGAGGAATCCACTCTCTTTCATTATTAGATCCACTGAATTACTGAAAATGACTCTTCTGTTAAATATGTAATTTAAATTTATTAAGGGACTGATTTCGCCTTATCAGTGAGTTGTGGTCATTTCCCTACTGATACCATGGTCATACTGGGATTAATACAGTTTTCTGCATGTTTTCCTATATTTGTTGTAAATCTTTTACTCTAAAACTCCGTCTCCTTATTTTTCAGGTATTATATCCTGTTTATGGGTGTAACTCTGTAGTGGTTCGTGAGGCAGGTCAGGTTGGCTCCTTCTGGGAATTTTGCATGCTAGGCTCATGACTACACTTCCTGTCATGTTTATCTGGGAAATTTACAGCAGATCCAGGCTAAAATATTCATAAATCAGGAAGCCCTCAATTTAAAAGATTTTTTTCAGGTTTCAGTTCTGCACAAAATCTGCAAAATGAAGCCTGAGACTGATATCTTTCGGCGGGCTAAGGCTCAGTGAGCAGCACTGTACCCTAACACCTCTAGGGTGGCATTAGGGCTGGGTATGTAGTTGGCATGGTATATTTATGTTCCCCTGGTTCTGTAATTGCTTCTGAGGGCCAAAAACATGCAGTTTGGCATGTGCATTCCTTGCATTGGTGTAACATCCTGTCCAGGGTGTATCCCTGCCCTGCACCCTCTGAATTCTGGGATAGGCTCCAAGCTCCCCCCTCCAACCATGAACTGAATAAGCAGTTGGAAGATGGATGGGTATTGGCCAGTCTAAATATAGTAATGTAGGGCAGTCTCCTCTCAAAGACATATTTCTTTTTGTGGGAAATTATGTTGACAATTGTGATGAAAACTAGGATATTTTGAGAGAGAGGTGCGAAGCCTCCAATCACGTTGATGAAACATGAACTCTTGCTTTAGAAGGAATTTAAAAGACTAATTTATAGGATAGAGACCATGAGAAATGGAGGTGGGGGGGGTTTGGGGATTGGTGCTCTTGGAAAGTGGGGGAGATGGTGGTTATAGGGGTTGATGATCTTGCTGTAATAGTTGACATTAGCTCAGTCATGGGATGCCTTAATCACAGTCATTCCAGACGAAACACGTGCCTTAATTACTGTGTAACCAGGGTATTTCTCAGCTGGGATTCAGCCTGAGCAGCATCTGGACGCCGCTGGAGATCTGAGATATCAGCAAGACATGGATATACACACTCTCACCCTGGCCATCATCCTCGTGGATCCCCATGTACACGCACAAACCTCGTATGCATTTACATACAAGCACGCTGACAATCTGCCTAACCTATTCATGAAAGGATCAGCGTAAACAGGTTGACAACGGTGTAGACTTCTTTATATTGGATGGTATAGATGATGCAGATCACTTTTTGCAAAGTTTGGATGGCTTCTTACAATGTCTATCTTATGTAGACTACTTCATGTCAGAGAGTAAAGGTGACTCCCTATTAAGGTAGTGTGGACTACTTCCTGTCAGAAAGTACAGATGGATTCCTGATAAGGCAGTGTAGGCTGCTTTGTGTCAGAGGATTTATCCCATTTACCCCACTTAAGTGCAAGCACACTAAGACACTAGACCCTAGACACGTATGTTGACGTAAGACGCAAAGTGTGCAAGTGTATGTAAAGAGCCCAAGTGTATGGGCAATTATTGAAAACGATGGAACACACTTGATATTTGAAGAGGTGAACAAGAAACACACTGCAACTATGCTGTCATTTGTGTTGGTTGCATTTGGGGTTGGCCTTCACTGTGGAGTAGACTATGTAAGCATTTGTTATGCAGCTGTGCACACTTGCATTGAAAGTTCTTTGGAGGTATGTTGGGCTCTGGTAAGCCGGCAGACTTCCTCATGTTTTATGTAAACTTTAGTCGTCACTGATGCGGTGCATTGTGGTCTATATACTGAGCCAAAGACTGCTGCCTTTGCGTTATCTGTCAAAGTGTGGATAAAGTTGGCTTATTTGAGGAATGGGACACCCTTGGATTCTTGCACTAAGTGTGTGAACGCGTCTGCCAAGTGTGGTATTGTGCAAATGTGTACGTAGTGGGGCAAATGGGACCAAGTCAGAGCATAAAGATGGCCTCCTCTTAAGGCAGTGTAGACTGCTTCCTGTCAAAGAGTAAAGACTGTTTCCTGATAGGCATTATTGCCTGCTTCCTGTCAGAGGATAAAGGAAGCCTCCTGTTACACAGTGTAGTCTGCTTCCTGTCAGAGTAAAAATGGCTTCCTGTTACACAGTGCTGACTGCTTCCTGTCAGACAATAAAGGCAGCATCCTGTTACAAAATGTAGACTTCTCCTTCTCATAGCATAACGGTGGCTTCCTGTTACGCAGTGTAGACTGATCCTCATGATTAGAAGGAGATGTGTTTCCTGTAAGAGTAAAGATGACAGACTGGCATATATACCTTACTAGATCAGTGCCATAGGGGTAGGAGGTAGCTATGCATTTGTATGTATGTGGGCTGTTTCCTGTTTATGTGTGAATGTTGGCAATTTCCTGTTTCTGCATATGAATGCTGGTAGTTTAATGTTTAATGAAATGCGGTATGTCAGTGCAGCTGAGTTTCAAATGGCTTCTAGCTCACAACAGCACTGTCTACCTGAAAGAGAGCAGTGTGCACTGCTGACTGTATTACCCGTGTATCGGATCTCCAGAATCGACGACCATGAATTCTGTCCCCAGGGAGGGAATGTGCTTTTATTTGGGTTGGGCTCCAGCAGTTCAAACCATCGCAAAGCAAGTAGCCTGTCTGTTAAAGAGCCAGACGTGTGGCCGACGCCCTACTCAGGGCCTCCTGTTGCACCCTGGGATGATGCACTTAGCCTGGATTGCTCTGGAAAAATATCTTCTATGTGAGTTGCTTTGGATAAATGCGACTTTTAAGGAACTTAAAGAAACAAGTCAGTGTCACCCAGGTCCCAGGGGACTCGGTGAGCTTAGAGTACATATCACACTTTTTAAAATTTCTCTAGTTTCAACTAAACCAACACACACAGGCACACACACAAGTTTGTGTACCTATCTAAATGGGGACTGTCCCATTCATTTCTATGGGAAAAACCCTAATCCCAATCACGACACTCTTAACCTCTACCCATCCCTAACCTTAACCATAAGTAACCAACCCAAATACAAGACTTTTGGCATTTTTAGTTTTTTGATTGCATTCACAGATCTTTGTGGGGACCTGAAAAATGATCTCCACAATGTCAAAAAACAGGTTTTTATCACATTGTGGGGGGGTGAATTGGTCCCTACAAAGTAAAATAAAACTAATCCACACAGAAACACACACTGCACTGTGGCTTTATTTCCCTCCCCCCCCCCACATCCAAACACAGTCTTCCCTGGCCCCCACACACCCGCACACAGGCTGCAGCACTTCCCCTCACCTCCCCTTCTCACACTCCTCCAGTCTTCCTTGTCTCATCCGTCAAGCTAAAAATATCTCCTCCCCGGAGGCTCTCTCTGGCTGTCTTGGCCGCCCAGCCTCCTCCCCCCCCCCCCCCCCCGCCCCAACTTTGCCGGAAAAGGCACAGCCTCACGTCGGCGGTACCATGCATCGGGGACGAGCCGCAGCCACAAGGTTGTCTGGGAGATTCAGCTCTCGGGCATGGGGGCTGCGCTGAGTCAGACGGCTGGCCAGCCAGGAGGGCATCGTGGGGAGGGTGCTGCCCCGGGCGGTGCTGGGAAGGGGCTGAATTAGGAGTGGGGTGGTCCCATGTGCTGGCTAACATGCTAGATTGATGTTTGGGATCCGTGCGGGAAAACTTGGGTGTGTGTGTGTGTGTGTGTGTGTGTGTGTGTGGGTGGGTGGGTGGCTGGGCCCTGTCCCCAAGTGTGTGTGTGCTCTACCTCGTCCCTGAGTGTGTGTGTGCTCTACCTCGTCCCTGAGTGTGTGTGTGTGTGCTCAGCTCTGTCCCTGAGTGTGTGTGTGTGCTCAGCTCTGTCCCTGAGTGTGTGTGTGTTCAGCTCTGTCCCCGAGTGTGTGTGTGTGCTCAACCCTATACCCAAGTGTGTGTGTGTGTTCACCCCTACATCTCTGTCTCCTTGTCCTCCTACCCCAGGTGTCCTTGTCAACAGCCCCATCCCACCAGCCAGTCCCTGCTATATCTAATGGTGGTTGGTGGGGGGGTAATGATGATGAATGGCATTGTTTGAATGTTGAGAGCCAGGGTGTGCTGTTCGGTCGGGGGACACCTGGATGCCCCGCACTCACACGCCCAGGGCAGCTGAGGTCCAGGCCGTGGGCTACTGGTCTCTAATACAGTCGCTGAAAGTTTAAAGCAGTGTTCTGCTTCTCTTTTTTGCAGTGACTTGCTGTCATCAGACTATGTGGAGATACACTATGTTAATGGGAAACCCATTCAGGCAAAGGTAAGACCTCCTTTCACTCTATGACAAGGTGGAATTTCAGCCCTCAGGATCTCAATCGGAAATCTCATTCAGACATTTATATTAATACACTATCTACTGTATGGCTGGACAACAATGAAAAGCAGTGGTGGGAGATATCAGATTTGAAGCCTGTACTGGGTGGGATTGTACCTCAGTTACCAGCTTCTGTTGGTTGAATCAGCATCTGTTGGTTCTTTTATTGGTTCTAATTAGGTTAAAGCAGGCAGTAATTGACAATCAAGTAATTCATGGACAAAGAGTAGGGTTACCTCAGATGCGATTAACACTTTTATTTGTAGAAACTTCAGGAACTCTTAGAGGCGAGTGTACGAGAGATGTTCTCCGTTGTGTGCCGTCGGTCTTCAAGCATGTACTGCGATATTGTTTTTTCGATTACGTTTTATTCAGACCTCTGTGGCATACTCTGCAGAGCCGTGCAGGATTTAGTTCCAGAAACATCCTGTGATGGGCTGTGATGTGTCGAGCAGTGATTGGCCGACGTGTCATCACTGCCCCTGTTTTATGCAGCGCTCATATTGCTGATGCCCATAAATCTTTTTTTACCACCTACCACTTAATCGCCCACTGTAGCTTAGTAAATTGTCCAGAATTTTAATGCAAGCAAGTATGACAGTAACACAGCCATCTTAGGTTTGGTTTCGCGTTTTGAGAATGGTTTTGTTTTCATAACCATTTTTTTTTTACGCCAGTGTCTCTTATGAGAACTCAGTGTTCTGATCAAAATATTTGCAGATGTATAAGTGACATGAGCTAAGAACATTATTAATGATGTTATTAGATTAAAAATGGTTAGTTAATTATAGGGATTGTGTGATTAAAGTTATAGATGAAGAGGGAGTGGATGAACCCTAACTGTAGCCGCTGAATCAGGAATGAGAGCAGGTACAGTCTGGGGATGCTGATTCAGCATTTCTGAACGCTTCCTGCAATCCCCTTCTGGGACTGCAGTCACATGACCATGGAGGGTCAGTCACCAGCCCACTGCAGCAGTGCAGCATGGGAAGGAGGAGTCAGCTCCTCTCACAGGCTGCCAGAGCATGAGCAGAGCTTCCAGGTGGGACTCGTCTGCCCGCGAGGCATTAGACAAACAGCGTGTTCAGCTCGGCGTGTACTTGCTGTACATGCAAAAAGCACTTAAAACCACTCAACACGGTCCATGGCTGCTCACCTTCAGCATTGAGGGGATTTCTTTGCCAAATCTTTCCACTGAAGGGCAAATCGCTGCACCGCAGGCTGACGTAAGGGTGTTTCGGGTACGTAAGCGAACTTTTGGCCACTCGCGGGCAGGCGGTGGCCTTGATCCCGTCGCTTCCCGTGGCGGGCTGTGGTGGGTGCCCAAACCCCCTAATGAGAACGCGGAGCTGAAATAGAAAACCCGCATACACAGCGTTTCTGACAGCTGAGCGCACAGAACAGAGGCAGTACGCACTCAGCTGTGCTCAGGAACACGCTTTGTGGCAAGTAGCCAAAGGTGTGAGTTTCAGGCCGGGGAAGGTGCATTACCTTGCTGGGTGCTGAGACCCTTATCTGCATTTGTGACAGATCTTAACTGCAAGGGCTTCTGACTCTTGTACCGGAACAAGAACAGAACCATTTCTTCCATCCCAGTGCGAGTTCACAGCTGTCCCTGTGAATGCACTCCTTGCTTGGGCCATGAATTGCATGTTCATTCGGGAATAGTGTGGTCCTGTCTGGATTGCCAGAGGCGGGAATGACACAGCACATGGGATCACTGAAATTACAGGTGGAATAAATCAAGCCAAGTCAAACTTTGTTGTCATTACAAAATACGCAGGCATACGGTTAAACAAAATAGTGTTTGTCTGAGACTTTAAAAGCAGAATAAACATACAAGACAAAGATAGACAGATAGACAGATAGATAGATAGATCGATAGATAGATAGATAGATAGATAGATAGATAGATAGATAGATAGATAGATAGATAGCAGCAGACGTAGAGCAGTGGGGGTAAGTTTTCCATTTGTTATGTTATTTCAGTCATTACATGGGTTTGGTTTAGTCAGTAGATATTATACCGGACAGCCAGTAGTGACATTATATGGGACAGCTATGTGTGACATTATGCTGGTCAGCCTTTGGTCACATTATACTGGACAGCTAGTGTCAGCAGTTGTAAGATGGTACTCAGGAAGTCAGTGGGCTGAATGGTTGGCTGCAGGTGTAGGAGCTCTGTCTTTTCTCTCTGGTGCTTTGAGCTGTGGCATGACAGGCACCAACTCTGTCCCTCCCATCTGTCTGACTGCCTGCCTGTCTGTCTGTCTGTCTGTCTGTCTGACTGCCTGTCTGTCTGTATGTCTAACTGCCCACCTGTCTGTCTCTCTATCTGTCTGTATGTCTAACTGCCCATCTGTCTGACTGCCTGCCTGTCTGTCTGTCTGTCTGTCTGTATGTCTGTCTGTCTGACTGCCTGCCTGTCTGTCTGCCTGTCTGTCTGTCTGTCTGTCTGTATGTCTAACTGCCCACCTGTCTGTCTATCTATCTGTCTGTCTGACTGCCTGCCTGTCTGTCTGTCTGTATGTCTGTCTGACTGCCTGCCTGTCTGTCTGTCTGTCTGTCTGTCTGTCTGACTGCCTGTCTGTCTGTATGTCTAACTGCCCACCTGTCTGTCTCTCTATCTGTCTGTATGTCTAACTGCCCACCTGTCTGTCTATCTATCTGTCTGCCTGACTGCCTGCCTGTCTATCTGTATGTCTGTCTGTATGACTATCTGTCTGTATGTCTAACTGCCCACCTGTCTGTCTGTCTGCCTGCCTGCCTGTCTGTTTGGATCCCTGTCTTTGTTCGTGACCTGTCCCACTTTTCTCATTGTGTCTGTCTCTGTATTATACTTCCCTGTCTTCTCTGAGTCTGTCTGTATTTTTTCAATCTCTCTCTGTCTGTGCATGTAGGGAGGGGAGCATTGCTATTATCACGGCCAGGTGAGGGGAAACACAAACTCACGCGTGGCACTGTCTACATGCAACGGGCTGCAGTGAGTGCACTCTGACCTCTCTACCTGCTTGCATGCGTGTGTGTGTGTGTGTGTGTGTGTGTGATGCACTGCAGATCAGGCTCCCTACCAGTAAGTTGCAGTGTGTTTTGTGATTTGACTTTTGTTTTGAATCATAGTTTTGTGGTAGTATGAATTTGACATCTCCAACTATTAAAATTGTTGGGAAAACTCAAGAGTGTCAAAAATATTAATAAATCAAAGTGACGACTTGTTCAGGGCTCACACAAAGTCTTGGGAAGTTTGCTTAATTCTGTCAAAATGTTGTAAATTTATCGATTTCATAACAAAAGTTCATTCACAATGCTTGACATATACAGTATGTACACATCTTCTGCATGGACATTTTTTTTTTTGAAATGTAAAGTGTCATCATATTTTGACTGACTTCAGTTCTGTTCTTGCCATTTTGCTATTAATTGTAATTGTAGTCACTGGCTCCCAAAAGGATACTAAACAGAAATGTTTTGTGTTTTATGTTTTTACAAAGGTCTTACTTAAAAATCAGCCAATGAGGCTGCTTGTCAATGGACTTTTTAACTCAGGACAGCTGTTCTAAAACTATAATTTGGGTTTCCATTTATTACTACTTGTTTTTCTTAAAACCCTTGGTTGCATCTAATGTAGTATACATTTTTGCAAAGTAATGATTTTGTTAAAACCAATAATAAAAATAATTTTGCAACATTTTTACTGAATTAAGCAAGTGTCCCAAGACTTTCAGCAAGCAATATATATTTGAATAAAAGATTACAGTGTTACAGGATAATTTCTCTATTAATTTGTGTCATTTGTATGCAAACTGACAAATGAAATTGTCAAACAACAAAACTAAGTAGACTAACACCAAACAATTTTAAAATTAAAGGAAGTAATTCAATAATTATTTTATTGACTTCTAATTAACATTATTTACTGTGTTTAATGGTGTCTATATGTAATTGTAACTGTATTTCTGCTTCCAAAGCATGTTGCAGAGAATCTGGGGAAATGTCACATTTTTTGGTTGAAAAAGACACAGAAGTGTGAAAATCAGGAAAGTTCTTCTAAGTTCTCATAGCAACCATCTAAGGCACAGATTGGTCCTTCGTTACGCCCTCCCACGCTGACATGGGTGTTGATAAATTTGACTCAGAATGTCCTGCACTCAGTGAGTTTTTGGGCCTGTTTTAACTTTCTGTTGAAGGTCGCGATTTCGCTGTCCCCAGAGTGTCTGTGGTTGTCCCCTCAGGACAGGACACCTCCGTGAATCAGGGCAATATAATGGCCAGCTTTGCAAATGGATGAAATCTACCAAAGTTGTACTACTCACAGGTTAACCCTGCCAGCTACCCGTTCGTTGGTGTCTCCCTGACTTACCCCAAGTGTGTTTCTCGTGTCCCTACCTCAGCGGAATGTTTGATGATGGACTCCACATGTACGTGATCGAGCCCCTTCACCAAACACACTCCATGGTAAGAGCGAGAGTGTCATTCCCCTGGAAACTCTCTGACGACCGTTGCGGCTCCCAGATCGCTCTTCACCGCATGTATGAAGACTCCGTTTCACATGCTACACTTTGTGGCACGGTGGCCTCTTGGGTCAGGGGTTCGAAACTTGCACCCCTGCTGTGTGTGTGTAATTTGTGCATGTTCTTCATGATTTGCCAAAAACATGTGGTTAACTGGTATATTGAAATAACCCATAGCGTGTGATTGTTTGTATGAGTCTATGTCCCAGCAATGGACTGTCCAGAGTGTCCCTTGGCCTTCTGGGATTGGCCCCAACTGATGCCATCATCCTGTGCAGCAGTTTCCCAATGCAGTCCTCAGGACCCCCAGATGGTTCACATTTTGGAGCAAAAATATTGACTGTCTGGCAGGGAGCTGGGAGGGAGCAAAAACATAGATTGTCCTGGGGGCTCTGAGGACCAAGTTGGGCAAGACTGTTTTAGTGAATAAGTCATACAGATGAAGGATGGATGGATGGTTTTGTGCCCAAGTCAAGCCACATGTTCTATTCATGCAACTGTGTTTCTAGCTCATTTGCTGCCTGTAGGCTGCGTTTTGCCTGTCTTTCTGTGACCTTTGACCTTTCTGCACTCAGGACACGGTAGCTCGACCCCACAATCTACGGCGGGGCCAGACACTGCTGTGGCCTACTGACATGGATGAACAGTGTAGGTATCTCTCTCAGTTTGTGTCTTTTTCCTCCCCTGGACCTTTACTCTGTGGTCGGTCTCCATTTAACAACCAACCGTAAGCATAAAGCTGGATTCAGACAACCCCCCCCCCCGCACCCAGTTATCGTGACAATACCAAAATGTGACCCTATTGTGTCTCTACAGCGAGCGAGGAGCAGGCGTTCGCCGACCTGGAGGACCTGTCCTGGTTGAAACGCAGGAAAAAGCGTGAGGTGGGCACTATGCTTGTTCTTCCACCGCCCAAGATTCTCCTTCCTGTCTCGGGAAGGCGTTTGCCTTTAAAGCAGGCAGATATTACCTGATAATATTCAGGTTAAACACCTGACTGGGGGCGACTACCCGCGCCAGTTTTCCTTCCAAACTGTCCTCCGGAAAAATGTTATGACCTAAAAACTACCTTGACCTCAAACTTCGTCCTTTAAAGTTACTTAAATACTTTCACGGCTTCCCTTTCAAATGCCCCCTGATTTTCTTATCTCAGTGTTACCGGTCTGGATCTCCATGCAGCCATCATCACTACTGACCGTTTTCTCACACACACACGTCCGCCATTCTTCTCTCAGGATGAGCTGAAATGTTCCGTTCTCCCTGCAGATGCCCCGCAACACATTCGAAGAGATGAAGTACCTGGAGCTTATGGTTGTCAGCGACCAGAACATGGTGGGTGACAACGGCCATCTTCTCACTGAAATAGTTACACTGGTACTCACAGAAACGGGAACGCAGAACAAACGTTTGTGCTTGTATCTGACACAATGTGATAACAATGTTATAATCCAGATCTGTGAATAAATACGATATTAGCAGTGTTTCATATCCACACACAGGGGGCGATGTGTCCTCTGTTCTGCTGTCTGTCCGGGACTGGTAGTGCAGTGGCTACAATTCCCACTAGAGGGTGCAGTACCGCAGTATGACGGAAAGATGTCATTATCCCTGTCTGAACACCCATGATGTATGTGTCTGTGTTTATTTTTTTTGTCACATCTCTATAGCAATGTTTCCCAATCCGGTCCTCGGAACCCAAAGTCGGTTCATGTTTTTGCTCCCTCCGAGCTCCATGCCAGACAGTCAGGACCAGATTGGGAAAGCCTGCTCTATGGTGTTGTATACTTGGTACACAGTGATGTTGCTGTTGTGTGTATGTCTGTATTGTTAAACCTCAGCACTCAAGGAGTGGTTGAAATTCATCAAAATTTGAAGTTTTCTCAAAATGTTCATGGTGGAGTCAATGGGGTTTGGACCTTGTCTTAACTGAACTTTCCCCCATCTGGTCCCCATGCATCCTGCAGTTCAAAAAGCAGAAGACCAAACAGCACACCAAGAACTTCGCCAAGTCTGTGGTCAACCTGGTGGATGCCGTGAGTAGGCCTTCTGCAGATGTGGGATGTTTACATTTGTACCAGCAACCTTCAGCTTCTGATCCATGATACTACCAGAGTTGGGTAATTCAGGTCCAGAGAGTAAAAGTCCAGACCAGGATTTTGTTTCGACCAACCAGTTGAGCATAAAGAGTCTCAGTCACAGAGTATTCAACTGTCTGGCTGAAACAAAATCCTGGTCTGGACTTTTACTCTCTGGACCTGAATTACCCAACTCTGGATTCTACATACCACCTTTGTTCCATAGCTCATGGAGAGCATTGATGTGCCAATGAGCTGTGTCTGCTCTGGGAACTCCCTGCATCGTGAACCCATGGACATATTACCAGAAGTGGAAAGTCCAGATCCAGAAAATACAAATCCAGACCAAAATTTTGTTTCAACCAACCAGTTCAATATATAGAGTCACAGTCACAGAGTACGCAACTGGTTGGTTGAAACCAAATCTTGATCTTGATCTGGATTTGTACTTTCTGGACCTGAACTTTCCACCTCTGCAGATTACTCTCTTCACTCCACACCCCTGTTTGATCTCAGGTTTTCAAGGAGCATCTGAACACACGTGTGGTGCTAGTTGCCGTGGAGGTCTGGACAGATGAAGACCGTATCCCCATCAGCATCAAGCCATTGGAGATGCTGCGTGAATTCTCCAAGTATCGGAAGAGCTACATCAAGCAGCACGCTGACGCTGTTCACCTCTTCACGTAAGTCCCTCCCCCAGCCCCCCCCATACCCCGTTCAGCTACCTGATTGATCATTGGGTCTCTGCATTTAAGCACTCTATCAATCATATCCATATTACCAATTCCATGAATTCCATGGTGTGGAAATTTTGTTAAAAATGAAAAAGAAGGGCAAGTAGAATACATTTAGAAACTAGGATAGAAGCAAGATAGTCAATATAATCAAAAATGTCAAACTTTGTTGCAGACAGTAAGCCATAAAAAATGGGTAGTATGTATATTTTTGGTATTTACCTTTTTTGGAAGGACGGGACAATCACACAGTACATACAAACCTTTCATCTAAATCCTCCAAGTCACACTGGTCCCTTCCGTCACATTCACACACTCCCACTGGCAAATCCCAAGATCAAATCGCTTAAAACTCTCCTTGACTTTGCAGTCTTTCTTAAACGTCTTAGGGGCTGTCTGGAGATGTTTCACCTGTTATTAATCTCTGTTAATGAACTCAGAAATGACTCCTGGTGGACGAACGTGATTAATTCTGAGTGGCACCTATTCTCCGATCCCTTGGCTCACCCTCTTGTGTCCCTCACAGCAACGTAACGTTCCACTACCCCAGAAGCAGTGCTGCTTTCTTTGGGGGTGTGTGCTCCAACATTCGGGGGGTTGGGGTCAACGAGGTAAGGTAGTGGTCATCATGGAGGTCGGGGGAGGGGTCGGCTTGTGCACACGAGCGAGCTCACCGTGTGTGTGTCTGTGTGTGACCCCCTGCAGTATGCCACCACCTGGACGATGGCACTGTCCCTGTCCCAGAGCCTGGCGCAGAACCTGGGAATACAGTGGGACCCAGTCAACAAACGAAGTATGGGATCGAGAGGCACGCTCACACACTGAGTCACACTCATGCACAACACGCACTTGCTTATGCACCACACGCTCATGCACAACACGCTCACGCACTGATTCACGCTCACACACTCACACACAACACACTCACGCACAACACGCTCATGCACAACACGCACATGCTCACGCACTCACTCACGCACAACGTGCTCACGCACTCACACACACAACGCGCTCACACACAACACGCACACGCTCACGCACAACACGCTCACGCACTCACTCACAACACGCACACGCTCACGCACCACACGCTCACGCACTCACGCACAACACGCACAAGCTCACGCACAACACACTCACGCACTCACGCACAACACGCTCACGCACTCACGCACAACACGCACATGCTCACGCACAATGCGCTCG